TGGGACTCCTGGCAACCGGCTTGAATTTATGACAGTTGTAGATCTCAGGGTCATGATTGCCATTTGTGACCTTCCCAGCCAACTTCCAACAAGCAAAATCACTGGGAAGCCATCACGGAAGGTCACAAGTCACAGTCACCTGATGTTTCCCTTAGGAACTATGGTGATTTACTTAATGACTAGAGCAAAAATGTTGGGTGATTACACAAACAACGCAAATTCAAAGGTAATCGGTAATTCCCGTCAGCTAGGGTTAGGATTAACATCAAGAGTTTACAGGTGAGCCTTGTTTAATGACCACTCTGTGATCAGTTGAACTTGACAGATGAGCATATTTGGTAATTTAATATTGATAATTAGAAGGCAATTTATAAGGGATTCCATACACGTAATCCCATACATGTATGTGTGTGTGGTGTACCTGCCACTTGCATCAAATATGTGACCTTCTTTCCAAAAAAATAAACTTTCCACAAGAATCTGATGCCTGTCTTTATCAAATATCACGTACAGTACTACAATTTACTGATGACCATTTTGATCAAATATGAGCACAGCCTAATTCCACAGAAGGAAAATTTCCAAAGTTAGTTTGGAACAAGGCAGATAAATAGCAAGAATATGTGTGGGCAGGCAGAGCAATTATGCGGTTTATTAGCTATTTGAAAATATAAAAATATTTTAAGTATTTCTGTCAGATTAATAATTTTACTAATGCTCAAAAACTGATCGTAATTTCTATTTCTACAAATTACCACGTGCATCCTAAAGGTGGATCAAATGTCCAAGAACTTTTGAATATGTCCAAATTGCATGATTCATCCTCCTGTTTAAATTCCTCTAAATCACAGAAACTTGGAGAAAGGATTAGCTAAATTCATCCCTGCTAGCCAGTGCCTGAATTAGTTAAAGGGGTATAGGAGTTTGACAGTAAAGAAAAAAAAACAGATAAAAAGTAACATTGCTGTATGTCCAACAGACACATTTAGTGTTGCAATTGAATTTCTTTCTGTGAAGAGTTCACTGATTGTAATATCATGCTGTTATCACTACATATTGCACTTACTTTTCATGCAGGCTGTCAAATGCAAAACTATATACTATTTGGGCATTACAAGATTTCTTACTGGTACAATTCTGTAGTTTCAGAACGCCAAATGTCAGAATTATATTTCATACACATGCAACTGGAAACAGCTTCAAACCAACAGCTGAAAAAGTGCATTTTGCCTTTGTTGTTTGGGAACTGCAATAAAGAGACCGCATTGCTATTGCTTCTTTGCAGAGCTTATTTGAGAAGATAAATGTGCAGACAGTCCATGGTATTTTATATTCTAATTAACATATGAGAGTAAGAGTGTGTGTGTATACACACACACACAAATACAAACATACACATACACATATACAATGTGCGTATGTATACACCCACACACACCTTAATGGAACTTAGATGCAACAATCTGTCCATATCTAGTCACCATTTCCCATATGTCTGATGTATATTAACTGCACATGCCTAATGATACATTCCAATTTCATGTACATATATAGATAATACTGCTTTGATGGACATCTTTTCACCTTATTAGTGTAGTAAATTAAGGGTTTACTCTATTCATAAGCTTCTAATGACTGCAGTTCTAAATGGCCTAGGGCTGAAGCACATTCATGATTGTCTACTTCAAACAGCGTTAGCCTAACCAAGAAAAAAGTGCAGTGTTCCATTTTCATGAAATCAGAACAACCCAGGAGGTCTTCTCTGTTATGGAACCCATGATGTGACATAAGAGGTTAGATTTGCATTGACCCTAGTGGTTTTCTGGAAGCAAATTAAAAAGGAGCTCTTGTGAATGGTTTTTTTAAGTAGTTAGGTTAGAGCTTCAGGGGTTATTTACATATCATTCTGATAGCCAATTAATGACACATTTTAATGGTTGCATTTATTACAATATTATTTGGACCATGGAATTTTATTCTTTGTGGTCATCAAGAGTCACACAATGGTAACCTCCTTAAAAATAAAAATCCAATAAGTAAATAAATTAGTGTGCAATAGGCTTACACACTTACCAGGGAGTACATTACAGCCTTAAAAATGTTCCACAGGGTATAAAATCATAGAGAAACAACTGAATTTATTTAAATGTAAATAGTTTCTCAGTATACAAGCAATAATTTTCTGTTGTTCAATAGTAAGTTTAACTGAAATCAATCCGTTTTAGAAGGTGAGAGCTGAAGGCAATAAACCAGTACTGTTAAAATGTGGAGTTCCTACTTTGCCCATGGCTATACAATGAAGCTTTAAAATTAAACTGAACAACAATACTTAAGTTGCATAAAGTAAAGCCTTTAGCTAAACAGTAAGCAAGAAGAGGGGGGGGGGGAATGGTGCAAATCCAAAAAGAACTTTAGATATTTCAGATCTCTCAGAGGCAGAAGGTAGGGTTTTTCCATAAAGTGCTTAAATGGCTATTATGACCCAAATAATAACCATGAAAATTAAAATACAGTAGAATACCCAGGGCTGGCGAGAACATACAATGTAAGTCTGGCTTTATGTTTTATATGTGATTCAAATATCCTAGTAGCATTTTTATGATTAATTCCATTAAACTTACTTTAGAAAAATTGATAAATGTATTAATAGAGATTAAACACATATTTTAGTACACATGCTGCCATAAGGACAGGCTGGTAATATTGGGTTATACAGGAATGTTTACTAGACTTTCCCCCCTTTATTTCAGTTCAGAATATACCACTTTCAACAATTACCTTGATTTGAAACCCAATGGGGAACACTTACTTTCTCTGGGCCTTTTCTTTCTTGGCTTTGGTCCGTTTTTTCCGGGCTTGCAATGCTAAAACTGAAAAGAGATGAGGAAGAAGAATGCTGAATCAAAATCGGGTACAAAAACTTTAATTTTTAGCATCATCTATGGTCTACAAATCTTTAACCAGCAGCACCATTTATGTTCAATTTCAATGATAAGCTATATGCCCCCGTCAGATTATTTTTTCTTCCTTAAGAACGTAACCTAAGTGGAGACAAAGTATCATAGTCTCCATCTCGTACACACAAAGGGGAGAGGTAAGCAGACGCTCCAAAAGTACATCACTGTCAACATACCTGAAAAATGCAACAGGCATCTATTATTAAGTATACTAAAAAGAACCCGGAACCCAGATCATTTAGATCAGAGCAGCAGATTGAATTCAAATTAAAGGAGGACCAAGAAGAGCAACCCCTTCCTGAAGCGAATTAAGCAAAGGGGGAAGAAAATTAAAACCGAGCAAAAAAAAAAAAAAAAGCCCAACGCGCTCACCTTTTCGTTCCATGGCGGCCAGCGACGGCAGCCCCGCTGAGCTCCCGCGCGTGCGCTCTAAAGGTGTTCCGTGCGCCTGCGCCGGGCGTGGGCGGGCCGGCCGGCGCGTGCGTACGGCCGGTATCTTCGCGCGCCGTTGTGCGCGCCACCAAATTTCTTCGCCGCCGCCGCTGCTGTCACTTCCTTCCGAGCTGGGACTACTAAGGAAAGCCACGCCCCCCGGCTCTTCCAAGCGCGTACGGCACCGCCCCCTCCTCCTCTGCATGGGAGGGCGAAGCCGCACGTTAGGCTCCTCGGCCGCCTCCACCTGTCCCATGTGCGGAGCGCATGCGCTTCCCCCTCCGCAGCCAGTTGTTTTCCCTTTCAGTTTTCGCCGGATTTGCCGGGGTCAGAGAGCGGGGCAAGGGTTAAAAACTCCGCCTGGCGTGCGTTAGCGAGGTGCCGTAGCTAGACAGAGAATTGTGACGTCTCCGCCGTCAATTCTGCTTGCGGGCGAAGTTTCAAGTCATAGGCACAGCCGACCTGAGATTCAAAGGGGCAAGAACGCCTTTCGGGGGTCCCAATCCGAGCGGTTGTTTCGGCAACTGGTTTCTGATGGGTCCTCATCCATCGGCAGGTGGCGTGGCAGGTCGCAGTGTCTGAAACTGCTGCAGAATTGCAAGCCGTTTTGAGACGGCTGCTAGAGACATTCCTGATGTGTTTGGGGCTCGACTTTAAACGTGAGGTGTAGGGCTTGTGTTACTTTCGCATTCTTGAAGAACTACGGTATCTTTCCGCAGAGCGGCGTCTAATATATGACATGTCCTCTACATTTTAAATGGGTTTTTGGTAATTTATTGTTGTAGGTCGCCCACGGTCACTTTGTGTGAGATCATGGGTGGCTGTGTACAATTAACCAGTAAGTTGAAGGTAATATAATGCATAAAGCGTGATTCCCCTTTACAGATCCTGTTCTTGGGGAGGAGGGGGGAAGACGGGAACGTGCATTGCCTGTTAGTAAGTTGCCCCTTTGCCAAGAATGGGAGGAGATTTGCAAACGAGCAAAACACCAGCTCGATTCTTCATACGGGTGAATATATGGCATCAACACTAGGTCAGTACAAGGAAACGCAGGAGTTGTGCGCGCTTTTGATTTCTTCAGTAAGACAACACTGCTGTGGAGTAAAGCAAATTGGAAAATAAGGGGAAATCCAGCAGCTTCAGTAACTTAGGTTGGTTAAGCTGAGGAAACTTCTTGGACGAGAAGCGAAACGTCTTCAAAGAAAACCAGAAAGTCCAGGTTCCTCTTTAAAAATCACCTTTGGGACAATCATGACCTGGATAGACATTTAAGCTGGTTAAGCAAAAACGAGGTGGGGAAAAGGCACTTCTCATGACAGGAATTCACGTTAATCTCTAAATCAAAGAGGCTGCCTTAGAAATGTCGCAATGAAGATTACGGTGCTTCTTGGCCCTAAAGCTCCGAGCTGCAGCCTTTCCCATAGCAACGGGGAGGAAAAGCAAGAAGATATAAAACCGGGCTCGCGCTGTCAAAATAACCCCTCCCCCTCCACCCCAGGAAGGCAACTCCTACAATTGCCTGAAACTCCGCCTTCCTCCGTTTCTCTCCTTTGTAGATCTCGCGAGACCGTCCCAGCGGGCTGCGCTCGTATAGGCCGCAGGAATCAGGTTCCATATTGGGGCATTGCCTCTAGTGATTCCGAGCCGCAGATCTCGCGATACCTCCGCGATCGATTGGTCGAGGATCTAGGAAGAGCTTCGGCGAAGTCAGACTGGCGCGTCTTCGTCATTGCCTGGGTCCCCGCTCGACTCTTAAACCAGCTCGGGTCTCCTTAGACCTAGGTGGCCTTTCCCGTCAGGGATTGGGCAGCCTGGAGAAGTGAGCGCTTGCGGTGTCCTCCCCCGGGGCGGCCAGTGTTTTTGCAGCGGTCCTTCTCCCTTCCTTCCGAGGAGGGGCTGCAAGCAGTGCAAGGCGTTCGGGACGAGCCGCTGCGGCCAAGCGACCGAAGTTGCAGCTAGGCGACTTTCCCACCACCTCCCTCCGCGCGGGAAACTCCCTTTCGCTGCAGGGGGAGGAGCCGAGGTCCCCGGTTCGAGGGTCTCCTCCCTCCCGGCCCCGCTGGGTGGGGCGGACTTGGGGGTCGAGATGACCCAGGAGCGGCCCAAGTTCTACCGGCAAGAGCTGAACAAGACGATCTGGGAGGTGCCCGAGCGTTACCAGAACCTCTCGCCGGTGGGTTCTGGAGCTTACGGCTCCGTCTGGTGAGTTGCAATCATTCCAGGGAAAAGGAGGAAACGTCGCCGTCTGCGCTGCATCCAAAGGGCGGAACGCGCATCTTTGCAGCGCCGCCCGGCATGCAGTTGTCCGCATTCCCACCGAGGCCTGTCACCCCGGGGGAGATCCTATTCCTTGCCACTTTGTTTAAAAAAAAAAAAAACAGCCCCTCGGGATGGTAGGTCTTAGCATGCTTTCACACACACACCCTAAAAAAAAAAAAGGTTTATTCAAGTTGCGCTATCAGAAGGGAACTGGTTTGGGCTGTTCTGTTACCCTTTTTGAAGTCCGGGCGTGTAGAAATATGCTGCCCTCCTATGCTTTATTCTACAGTCACATTGTCCTGTCAGTCTCGTCTTCCCTTGTGGCCGCTTTCCACTGATTTTGTTCTGAGCAATCATCTGGTAGGTGGTTACCCTGTTGGACTAGGACCCAGGGAAACCAAGTGCAAACCGAACCCACCTATGGATATTCGTTGGCCAATTTTGGACTTTTCCTTCCTCCGATTGCTCTTTTGGCCCAGTTTGCCTCCCAGGGTTAATGGGGGTGGGGGGCACGACGACAAAGTGAGCGTTTTGTACTCTCCCTTGAGCCAGATAAAAAATTAACAAATATGCATAAACTTATCTTGCTTTTCTGGTGCCTAAATGATAGGCTTTGATAGAGAGGAATTGCCTAATTATTCTCGCCCCAGTTTCAGTTTGGAATTGTAGGGCAGGTTGTCTAAGACTTGGAGAGATCTGGCTTTGAGGAAAAAGCATGAGTGCCCTGATGACTTCAGGATCTTTCCCGGCAAAAATTGTTTCTTGTTAGGGTGATGTTGCTTTCTGTTGGGCCTGCCTCAATAAAGCAGTAACTTCAGCCCTGCATGACGAGAGAGATTTAGCCAGCCAAATCTGTTGCTTTCATCCCTATCATGAAAGAAGCTCTGGGCAGCATATACTCTTTCTGTTCTCCCATTGTCTTTCTTCTTACAACGATTGTGGGTATGTTAGGCTGACCAGGACTGACCTAAGGCTTCATGGATTTGAATTTCAACATTACCAAACTGAATTTTCCAAGTGTATAAATAGCATTTTCTTTAAAAAAAAAGTTAGCATACTTCAGGCTACTTTTGTAAATAGAAGAAGCTGTGGGTTGTACAGGCTGAGCATTAAAGACATTGTAAAATACGGTAGTTGAAAAGAAGTAACGTAAATTAGGAGAGGAAGTTGTGTTTTTCCTAAGGATGTTTTGCACTGTATTTTCTGGTGTGCATTAGTATAACAAAAATATTTTAAGTAGTTGTGCTTCATGGAGAAAGAAGATTCAGTGACAAATCCCTGCAAGTAACACCTACATTGTGTTAAGTTAGACAGTAAATAAAGCAGAGGCAGCCTACTCTTTTGCTTTTGTGGAAATACATAGATTTTGCTAACATTGTAGGCATCTTAAAAATGGTTATACTGATTAGTCATAACATTTTATTGCAATAGTTTATAGATTCTATAGATCGACTCTGCCACTCCAACTTTTTTTTTAATGAGTAGGGAGATACATTCCAGATGAGACAGTATTTATATTTTCCAAGAATGAATGTGGAGCTTAAGTAAATAACAAATGCTGCTAGGGGCTGGTATTGTTTTGTACAGCATGTCTGAGTATTCTTACATTAGAATCTAAAAAAAAAGTAAAAGTCAGTTATGCTGGTAAATCTTTTTTTCTGATTAAAAATAATCAGAAGGAAGTAAAATACTCTTGACAAATACATTGCTTAACAAATGCAGTAGGATTAGTCAATAGACATATCGGTGCTTTTAGTTCATACTGTATTGGTCTCTTATGGCTTCTGTAAATGTACTTTACTGAAATTCAGCACTGAACTTCCCAGATAACATTGTGCCAGGAGTCAAACAATGAAATAGTATACCGTGATTCAAAATGCATCATATACAGGTAGTTCTTGACTTGCTACCACAATTGAGCCCAACATTTCTGTGGCTAAGAGAGAGACAATTAAGTGAATTTTGCCCCATTTTATGACCCATTTTACCACAGTTGTTAAGTTACTCACTACAGTTGTTAAGCAAATAACACATTTGTTAACTTAATCTGGCTTCCCCATTGACCCTGCTTGTCAGAAGGTCACAAAAGGTAATGACATGACCCTGAACACCGCAACTGTCATAAATACAAATCAGTTGCCAGGATTTTGATCACATGAGTATGGGGGTGCTGCAATGGTCTTAAGTGTGAAAAACAGTCATAAGTCACTTTTTTCAGTGCTGTTGTAAGTTCAAACAGTCAAACTGTTGTAAGTCGAGGACTACCTTTATTGGAGTTGAGTCCTATGAGTACTTTTCTAGTAGCCACAATTCAAAACTTCAGTCTTTGTGGACTGATGAACATATTTGGAATTTTAGACTGATGAACATATTTGGAATTTTTTAGGACGAACAGAGGTGCAGAAGCCCGTCTGTGGTTTCAGTTAATCTCTTTTTGCGGTTGGCGCGATCCTTTGAGGGTGCACGAGTCCTGGAGAGATTTGTGCCGGCGTGGGGGAGATTCGGGTTGCAGTGTGGGGAAGGCAACCCCCCTGCAGTGTAGAGGAGCCCTCCAGAGCCCAACAAGCAAGAAACAGGCTCCTATCAATGGCGGCTCCGAAGTCCGGACTGCCACCGATGTAAAGAAGCGAGTGAGTGACAGTTTGTGAGATCATTGGGGAAGAGTGTGGTAGAGAAAATTAGCGGAGAGGAGGATTGGAATGCCATAGACTTTTATAAGGCTGTTACAAGTGTCTGTCCGGAGCCCTAAAAGAAAGCGGCCAAAAAGCGGATGCGAGGCAAGTGAAAGTAAAAGGGCTTGGCAGACAGAAGAGAGAGAGAGGACAATAACGAGTAAAAAGGGAAGTTTACGAGGTTGGGAGACTAGCAGCTGGAAGGTGCCTGGAAGTTGTGGAGGATTTGGACTATCTCATTTAATTTTTATTCTGAAAGACTTTATTAAAGCGGAGATGGGAAGAAGATCGGAGCTGACGGAACAGAGACAGTGTGGCGCCACAGGAGATATTTAGAAACCCTGAAGCCATCGTAACAATATAACTGATATAAACCACTTAACAGCCCTTTAGGGAGCATACTGATCTAATTGAGGAGGTGGTTCCATCTGAAGAAAATCAGGAAAATTGAACTTAGGAACGCTAAGACAAAAAGTAAAAGTGGAAGCTTCCGAATGTGTGAAGATACCGTGTAATTGCAGTCACTACTCGGCATTTTTTACCTCCCCACTTCCGGTGCGTTTGGAGTGAAAGCTCTCAAACTTAGAGACGGAAAGCTAAAAACTTACTTCAAAATTCCTTTCCCCCCCTTTTTTTACTCCCTTTTTTGTGTATACATTTGCTCAATTTTTTTTCTTCTTTTTCCCTCTTCATCTGGCGCTGTGATGAACTATCTCTCCTTCTTTACTCTTTCTTTATAATGATTATAAATATGCATACTGGGGAAAGGAAAATTGATTGTTGTAACTGATTGTTAAATAATTGAATTAATTGATTTAATTGATTTAATAATAGTGATAGTTATACTTTGATTAGATATATAGGGAAAATAGTAAGAACATTAAGTATTATTTAATTAATAAGTATAGGATTTTATGTATTAATATAATTTATTGTGCGATCACAATTAATCCACTTGGGAATGAATGTAATACTGTTTATGTTTAAGAATATTTAAAATAAGGTTAGATAAATACACATTTATTTATAATATTTAAATATAGTTGGATTTGGATTTTATATATATATATATATAAATATTACATGAAGTTGTGTATAGAGGCTGAGCATAGACCTTACAAAATTATGTGATTTAGAATTTGGATTTAAAATAATACAGTGATAATATTTTATATATAAGTACTTATACTCCAGTAACCAGTTAAGAGCAGATAGATAGATAAAGTAATTAGATACTGGTCAATCCTAATACAGAGATTCTATCACTGAATGTTTTTTGGGATAATATAATTAATATCGGACAACAACAGAAACAAATCTTAAAATAAATGACCCACAACTGCTACAGCTCTGAAAACTGGAAGAAAGGTCACCCCGACGTTAACAACTACATCGGCAACAGCTTCGCCCATGGCACAAAAAAACATAGAAGAAACATTACCAGTGGAGAAACAAGCTAACATCTCGAATGCCAACATCCAATCAATTTTGCTGACTTTACAGCAATCGATGACAAAGCTGCAAGAAACAATGATGAAAAACCATAACGAGATGAGAGCAGATATCAATGAACTAAAAGAGGAGATGGGGAAATTAAAAGCAGAAATGAAAGTGGATATCTCCAAAGTAGAGGACAAAGTTGGATTATTACAGCAGGCCTCAGAGAAAAATGAAGCAACAATAAATGAGGTAGAGAAAAGGACTGAACGAACCAAAAGGAAATTAGAAAGGGTAGATGAAGAATTAAAGAATGTGAGTAAAGAAATGGAGGACTCATTGGTCTACCTAGAGATGGACAAGGCTGCTACATACTTGAGATTCCAAAATGTAGTGGAATCCAAAGAAGAAGACCTGGAACAACTAATGGTAGGAATACTGGCTGGACTATTGGAAAAGGATAAAGATGACATCTTAAGGGAATTTGATGAAGTTTACAGGGTTAGCACTAATTATGTGAGATGCTACAAATGCCCAAGAGAAGTCCATATACGATTTGCGAGAAGGAGTGCCCGGGATATCATATATAGGATGTCAAGAGATGAAACAATCACGTATAAAGGTAAAGAAGTCTTGATTCTCAAACAAATACAAAGAAGAATAAGAGAACAAAGACGAGACTACAAGTTCTTAGCAGCTTACCTAAATCAGAAAAGAATCGTATTTAAATGGCTAATCCCAAAGGGGATGTTAGTTTTTTGGAATGAAAGGAAAATTAAAATAGACTCCATGGAAAAGGCCCAGGAATTTTATGAGCGATTAGTAGGTCCGGAAGACCAGAGCAGTAAGGAGGAACTGGAAACAAACTCCCAGGAAGATCAAGGCTATCATAAGAACAGAGATGGAACTTTAGGAAATCAAGGAAATACTCATCTACATCAGGAGAGAGAAGAAAGTAGGACACATCTTCAGGCACAAGGAGAGACCGGAGCCAATACAAGACAAAGAGCGAAACAGAATTAATTAAATGGAAGAAGAAAAGAAACTACTATCAATTAATATAAATGGTTTAAACTCGACAATAAAAAGGAAAAGGATAACAGCTAAACTAATCAAACAAAATGCTGATATAATATGCCTACAAGAAACTCATATAAAGAAAACAGATGAAAATACCTAGAATGTCCGAAATTAGGGAAGCTATTTACCGCACCAGCAGACATGGGGAAAAAGAAAGGGATTGCAGTATATGTTAAAGAGGATTTGAAAGCAGATTTAATATGGTCGGATTCTGAGGGAAGAACTCTGCTTTTGCAGATCTGGATTAATGCCATCCCAATTCTCTTGGGATCTACGCCCCGAACGGAGATCAAAAAGAGTTTTTTAAGCATCTTTATGGAAAAATAGTAGGATTGGAAAAAAGAAATATTTGTATCATAGGAGACTTTAATTCTATTGCTGATTATCAAAAAGACCACAGTAATGGGGGGAAGAAAAAAAAGAGGGGGGAGAGAGCTTCCCAAGATATGTATGGAAATGATGAAGGAGTTAAATTTGATTGATATATGGAAAAGATCACATCCCAAGAAAAAACAATTTGCATTCTATTCAAATCCTCATCAAATATGGACACGAATTGGTATGGCATGGATGAATGGGGAAATAGCAAATGAGATAAAAAGGATTGAAATTTTACCTAATGAATGGCCAGATCACAATCCAATTCAGATAATATGGAAGGGTAGGGAAAAACCCAAGAAAAGATGGACGTTAAATACTCAGTTAATAAGAGAAAAAGAATACACCAACAAACTCAAGGAGGAATTAAATTATTTCTTAAACGAAAATGATAATGGAGCAACTACGAAACAAAACATTTGGGATACAATGAAGGCAGTAATAAGAGGTATAACAATCTCTTATAACGCCAAGAGGAATAAGGAAAAATACGTCCAGCAAAACAAATTACAACAAAAAATTAAGGAATTAGAAACTCAATTACAGAGTACCCCAAAGGATTCAAAATTGCAAAATCAGATAATAATAACTAAACATAAACTGAATTTAATTGAACAAGAGAGAATGATTATAAATTTGAATACAACTAGACAAACTTATTTTTAGCATGCTAATAAGCCAGGGAGATGGCTATCACATAGACTAAAAGAAAAAGAAAGAAAAGAGATTGATATACCAGCTAATAGATGGAAAGGGGGATATACAACAGGAGATAGAACAGAAAAAAGAAATTGTCCATAAGTATTTTGAAGAGTGATATAAAAGGGAAGAAGTTAATGAAGATAGAATAAGAAACTATTTAGATGAAGTGAAGGATAAAGCAATTGGGGAAGAAATGGAAAAATTATTAAAGACATTACTTGGCTTGAATTGAAATCAGCAATAGAGAACCAGAAAAACAATAAATCCCCGGGACCAGATGGGATTCTAGGGGAGCTGTACAAGGCAATAGCAGAACAAATAAGACTTCTTATGGTGGAAGTTTTTATGACGTCTTATTGGCAGCCAGGATGCCAGACTCATGGAGGGGGGCATTGATTTCGCTGATCCCGAAGGAGGATTCGGATCCCCGATATATACATAATTATAGGCCGATTTCACTGTTAAATACTGGTTACAAAATATTCACTTCTATTTTAGCAAGTAGACTAAAAAGAATGTTAAATGAGCATATATATGAAGATCAAAATGGATTTCTCCTGATCAGACAAATCAGGAACAACTTAAGAATAGTACTAGATGTCTTAGAATTTTATGAAGCCCATCCCGAAAAACAAATTGCACTTATGTTTTTAGATGCAGGGAAGGCCTTCGATAATTTAAATTGGCAATTTTTAATCCAAAAAATTTATAATATGAATTTAGGCACCAAATTTGAAAATATTATAACAACCATTTATGATACACAACAGGCTAATATTATAATAAACGGGGAATTTTAAAAACACTTTTTAGTGCTATGAAAGTTGCATGGCGTATCCATGACGTCACCTATTATCTTTATAGCACAGAGAACCCAAGGATTCTTGCAGTTAGTAATTTTGGAGCATATGGTGATGAGCACTTCTAAGTCATCTAAGATATTTTTCAGTGTATTCATTGCACAGGTTAAGAGAAGTTCCTGATTGTAGACTAAATTCTTCTTTATTTTAGTTTACTAGTATTATATTTGAACAAATATTATAAGAGTGTTAAGCAGTAAGAGGTATCTGGTGTATATATTTCCTTTTGTCTGATGTAAAACAGTGGCTTTGCAAATATTTTAGCATCAAGATTAAGAATTTTTCCACTACATTCAGTATATAATTTGATTAGTTAAGGATAATTAAACTATATAGAACAGTTGAAGAATCCAGGCTAGCATCCAAGTAAGCATACAAGGTACCTGTTAACGTAAGATTGTTGAAGGAATCTGAAATAATGGCCAGAGGAAAAAAATTATTGGAGTCATTTGCACTAAATCCAATTTCATTGTAGCCAGGTCATATAAATGCAAAGTCTTATATTTATACCTGCAAGTCGCCTTGCAACAAAATGCGTGCTGAAAAAAATAAAAAAATAAAAATACCTTTTGTATATTTTCTGGCTATTGCACAGAAGACATCCACAGCATCCGTCTATGCCCATATTGCACTTAGTGCCCTCTAGACTGCCTGCTTACTGGAACTTTATAAACATGCCAGTGCAACATAATCTGAGAAAAAAATGGCAATTTTCCAGAAGTCAATCTTTCAAACTAGAACTGGTTTCTGGTGTTCTAGAGAAGACACTGAACCATGAAACACCATGTCTGCAAAATCAGAAACGTTTCTGTTTTCAGACAATTATCTTCTGGTAAACTATTCCAGGGATGGCCAGTTTGACAATCACCCAGAAGAGTCGTGGTAGGTTTTGTGTTCCTGGTAAGTTGATAAAGCAAAATGTCAGGCATTCATAATTTTGTCTAAGTGAATAAAGGCATCTGGGTTCATATTAGACCACAATTCTTTAAAAAGTTAGAATAAAAACTACCCACCTGCTTATATAAAGGAAGAGGAGAAGATGATTAGGGATGATATGTCTTTCCTTGGGACGTGGCTAGTTTGGCATGATGGGGAATCAAGTTAATTAGTGGTTTGTGACATCAGTTCTTCCTGTGCCAATAGAAACATTGCAGACATTTTGCAAGAACACTTGCCAGCCTTAAATAACTGGATATCCATTATGGGAATGTCTCTTTTTATGTTCAGTTCAGTGTGGTTAATAACACATAAGTGATTATTTTCAAATTTAGCACAGGCATGGCTGACTCTGGGGAAGAGTGAAAAAAGGTTTTCCATTCAATTTCAAGCTAAAATAATACGGGTACATTCTGACAAATACTTTTTCTATTCAAATAAAGTTCAGTGTTAGTGTAGTCAGATATACAGTATCTCTTTCATCTTCAGATTTAATGGGTGGTTCTTTGTACATTTTGTACTTGTTTGCTATTTAGTAACAATTACAAAAATATGGTCTGGATTTTTTTAATATTTGGAAATGAGTACACAGTATCTCTTTAGGGTTGTCTGTAAATCTGATTAGATCAGAAACCATGGCAATAAAATTTCAAAATTTTACTGCATCCAAGTGTCTGAAAAAAACAGTGTCTAGATATTTCTGAGTTAAATTATTCAATCTAGAGATCTGAGGAGTAGTTTGGTCTTTATTTCCACAACTGGCTTGCTGTGAGGCATATATTATGCTTCGAGATGGATATAGGGAGCTTTTGTTTCGGAAATGTCACAATATGTGAATTTTGAAGTTGAAACTTTCAAGGAGTTTACAGGAAGTCATTGTCATATCTCTGTGTTATTAGTCATATGATTGCAAGATTTTTCATTCTTCATAAAGCCAAAGTTATTCCCACATTTATTCATTTAATGTAGTATATTAAAATGAATATCATATAATAATTCTTTTTCCATGTTTACTCCGAGAAAAATTTTCAACTTCTTTTGCGGCTCATATTCTAAGTTACAGAAGTTAATTACATTCTCTCAAAAGACTAAGATAAATAATAATCTTTTCATAATAAAATGCTAACACTGATTACACCATTAATGCTTTTTAAAAAATGATTTTATAGCTCTGCCTTTGATGCTAAAACTGGCCTTCGTGTGGCAGTGAAGAAATTGTCCAGACCATTTCAGTCTATCATACACGCCAAAAGGACCTACCGCGAACTGCGACTGCTTAAACATATGAAACATGAAAATGTAAGTTTGACACAAATCATAATTGTGTTTGGTTTCAGAGCCCAGTTGAGTATGAACTATTTGTTAACTCTGGTTCACTTTACCAATGTGCAGATATTCAAACTGAGCAGGAAAGGGGTTGGTCTTCCTCATGTAGAGCTACTGTCTGAAAGATTTCTTTACAGGGCCACTCACAGTTACAATGAATATGATCATACTGAATCCAAAGCACCTTTCACACATTGGAACTGAACACTGCAACCCATGAGTTTGCATGGAACAGTTTACGTGCCAGCCATAATGAAATGAAAATGACGTTATTCTTCAAGCAAAGAGTGACAGTGGTGGGATATAATAGTGCAGTATTTATTCTATTAACTAAGAGAATAGTCAAATTTGAGGAAATAATATAGCTGTTAATTCTGCAATCTGCAACTCGGGGGCTGTTGTGAAATGCTTCATAGCTTCTCTGTATTTCTGGAACACAATATTGCAAAAACATTTCTTCCTCTAGTGCAGTTGTTGTCCAGATTAAGCAACCCTGTCAGATGATTTGTTAGTTCTTGTTTGATTAGAATTTGGTTGATTTTTTTAAAAGACCACTAGGCACATTTCATTTTATTGTTTGGATGTGTTTATTTTTTATTTTTTTGCAAATAGTATTGCTTCTTTGGTTTTAATTTCTGCATAAATCAGCTGCATAAATCAGCTGCATAAATCAAATGATTACACCTGTCATTTTATGCAGAGTTCACAATATGTAATAAATAGATCTATCCTACACAAATTTAATTCAAGTAAAGTCTGCTGTATTGAGGATTGAACTGATGGGGATTTTTGAAGTACAAGTTTAGTACAACTAATCCACTTTTAATCAAAATACTTATTCAGACATATCAGCAAATAGTGAAAGTGTGGAAAATTTGTTCTGTGAAAGCAACTTCTAATTTCCCTTTAAATGCTAGGAAGACCAATCAGATTGTCAACTCTTTGAGCATAACAGTTCAAACTATAGTTCCTGTTGCATTATTCCTTGTTTCTAAATAATATATATTTTTTATACTGAGCTATAGTAGCCCAGTGGTTAGTATGCAGTATTGCAGGCTGACTTTGCCCATTGCTGGGCTAAAGGTTGATTTAGCCTTCCAGCCTTCCGAGGTCAGTAAGGACCCAGATTGTTGGGGTCTATATGATGACTGTAACCTGCTTAGAGAGTGCTGTAAAGTCTTAAGTGCTATTGCTGTTTTTCAAGGACTATCAGATTTTGTTCTTCTGCAGGTAATGTCAGAACACTGAATGTAGTAAAGACTGGTAGTTTGTAACTGTAATTGTGTGTGAAGAAGTTATTACTGAAATATATTGATGTAACTGGCGAAATGTTAAGCTCAAAAGGGTACATTTGCCCATATATTTATTTTTGATTGCTAATTAAAGACAGACCTACCTTGGTTTCTATTGTTGACATTAAATATTTAGGAAGGTCATTCAGTAAAATTCCATTACTTTTTAAATACTACTACTTATGTCAGTGAAAAGTTTTCATATGTAAATTAGATTGGATATTGGATGGATATTACAATTGTGAACACTTCAGAGTAATCACTACAGAACATGTGAGGATGGCACTGCACTGTCATTGTAAGAGAAGCCTCCATAATTTGGCATATGTAGTTCTAGAAAGAGATGCAGCTGCTTTAGGGGTCACAAGCTAGTGCTCTGTTCACTTGTTCCAAAGCCCGTCTTCCAAATCAAAGAAGCATGACATAGCTCTAGTGCTTACAGTTTTTTTTAATATTTGGCCCACAGTAATTAAATTTCCCATACATTCAGAAAAGTCTTTCAAAAAGCCAGTCTCCTAATACAACTAGCTATTTTCTTAATATGTTTGCCCCAAAGTCATTCATTTCCATTTCTTTGCATCATATTGGCTCAAGCGCCTAAAATGCAGTCACATGACTGCAGGGAGGTTGACCGTGAGATCCTTAAATCTGGGTTGTAAGTACTTTTTCAGGATCTGGGGTTGTAATTTCAAACTGTCTCTGAGCATCCGATCATAAGTCGAGGACTACTTGTCTAATATTGGTTTTATTAAATGCAATTAAAAATAGTAACAATCAGTAATCATAGCATATTTAGCATGATAGTGATGAGTTATAGCAAACTCCAGGATGTCTATATAAGTTTTCTTTAGCATGATTCTGCAAAAAAAACAAAAAAAAAATTGAACTTTGTCAAGATTGCTGTTACTAAGCAATGTGGTTACATGATGTTCACAATCACATTACTTAGCTAAAATTCCAGTCCCAGGTACTAGTGGTACTCGAATTACAACCATAGTGGAACCTGCCCATTATGGTCATAAGCCATAAAACAGGTCAGTCATGTGAGCATCTGGTTTTATGACATCTGTCTGTCATAAATAATCAGTTGTGATGCATTTCTGCATCAGTATGATTCTCTGAACTCTCTGAATCATACTTAATAAAATATTTGTGGTTTTGATTCAGTTTTTATTTTCAGCATTTTCAGTATTTGATCAATTTGTTTCTAGTACTTTTGATCTTTTTGTTCATATATCACATATGGTAACATTTTTCTTTGTTGTGGCATTTCCACCAAATAAACCATTTTGATAAAGACTGCATGAAGATGGATCTAAGCACCTCTGAATTAGGCCTTCAGAACTAGACTATCCCAATGTGCTGATTCTGGTCCTTTACGGCTAATGCAGTCATATCTAATGCAAGTTGGACAGATCACAGCAAAGTCACCATATTGTGTAAGATGTAGTAAATTGTCCTTCAGAGTTTGTCAGTATATCTCCATACATCATCATCATCATCATTTTGAAATGCACGTTGGGTGCCAGTAGAAGCTCTGCCCAAATATAAAATTACTCTAGTTGCTTTACTACAGAGTATCCATTTTTAGTAAAAATTGAAGTATATGGCAACAATAGAACAATGGAAATAAAACAGAATTTGATGCTTAGTTTAAATCATGTATTTACATAGCAGGCACTCTGGATTAGAATAATAAATATACTTCAGTTGGGGAAATGGATTGAAGAAAAAATGGGTTGATGTTCATGCTTACTTAGGAATTTCTTTTCCCCACCTTTACAGGTTATTGGACTTCTAGATGTATTCTCACCTGCGAAGTCATTTGAAGAGTTCAATGATGTGTAAGCAACAGTTCAAAACTTTGTAACATAATATAATATATACATATACATACATCCATTCATCCATTCATCCATCCATCCATCCATCCATCCATATATTAAAAACACTAATCCAAAATTTATAACCTTTATATTGAATTAAATTTGTAGTCTTAGTGAACACTTCCTTGCATGTGGGAGGAGTTAAGGGGCAAATGTGAGTGAGAGTATGCATCTGAGGACATGAGTAGTTTAAGTTCTATACCTGCCTCAGTTTTGTTGCTGTAGAAGTATGTGTGCATTGACATAAAACCTTGCATTTGGAATGAAAAATAGGGACTGCTTCACACTACATAATCTCTGATGGTATTGTGTCCTCTACCCCTCCCCCTCAAAGATAAATAAGCTCATGTTGGCTCCTCCAAACCAAAGCAATGGTTTTGTTGGGGCCAGAATTAGGCATGAAAAAAATACACCACTCATCCTTAATGATAAAATTGTAATCTAGATACCAGACAGGACAATAATGCAACTCTGCAACCTTATGAAACAAAACCTGTTCATTCAAAACAAACAGCCAAAGAATCAAATGCAAAATGATGGTTTTCAGTCAGAAGTATAAGTCTGTCCAGTCTCACACAACCCTAGAAATCTGCACACCAGTAGATAGCTACTGTTATTCCCCTTCTATCATATCACTTGCCTGGATTCAACTTCAACAATCACATAAAATCTGATCCCTGCACTTGGCACAGCTAAGCAGCCTCAGAATGAACTCTAAATAGCAGTCCATACTCAAGGACAGCCATTATGCATTTCTCACCTGGAATGAAGCCAGCCTTTGGCATGTACACCACGAGTGCCTGCAAGATCAAGCCAGAGTGCTATAAGACCATGCTCTGGTTCCACCTACCTTGCACAGAGATACATCCTGGAGCATAGAGCCCAAGCTTGAAGCCTGCAAAAATCACACTACAGGTCTTCTAACCAGGTTTTTAAAAATGGCCCAATCACATGCCCACAATCTGTGTACCTTGTCTGGAGTCCTGCAGGGCAGTGCTAAAGCCCTGATAGACAACATTGCCACTCTACTGGACAAGCATCTTTCTCTGACCAAGCAGAGGAAGAGAGGTTCAGGCAGCAACTTTAGCTGACATGTTCAAACTCCCTAAAATTTGTGGCTTCTTCTCCCAAACTCATAATTCAATATGATGTGTTGCACCCAGTCAGTATTTATCAGGATCATAGAATATATAATATCAAAAGGAAGATAAAATACTAGAAACTGATGTGCATGTGGTAATAATAGTTTCTAAGCCATCTCACACATAAATTGATTTTAAGTATTTGAATAACCTGTAACATAGGATAAGTGCATGCAGAATTTTGTGAAGATCTCCATTTGTATGCTATCATTTATATTTCTATATCTTTTGTCTGTCTCTCCCTCCCTCCCTCCCTCCCTCACTCTCTCATCTTCTTACTGTGCTTTATATCTCCTTGTTTATGTTGTATACCATTTTGAAGTTCAGGTTTTATAATTCAAATAACAGGTGTTGGCAAAACATTTACTTTCTGAAGCAGAAGTGGCTACTTTTCTTCCTGGGAAAAAGCGGGGGTGGGGAGGACTTCAAAAAAGAAAAGCTGAGCAAAATATTTTGAAGGTCTGATAATGGGAAGGAATAAAGTTCCTTGGTTTTATTGTTGAATTTTCAGACTTGCCTGTTCCATCATTATTTTGCATTAAAAGGACTCATGTACTTGCAGCTGTATAATAGATAGATTATGAAGTGGCAAACATTTTAAAGAGCTGTGTTTAAAACTTGTAAAACTTGTATGTAACAGTTTTCAAAGGCACGTTGAGACACGCTTCCTGTTTTAATAAGTTCATTTAGATGGATTTTGTTAATAGATATTAATATGATTAAATGTTTCATATAGCCTCTACTTTTTACATTGCTTCAGAGAAATAGAAAAACTGAATCATTGTAAAATCTCTTTAATTCATTGTTAGGAAGAACAACTAACTTCTGAAAAAATCTTATTTTCTTATCTTTTTACATTGATAACCTACAAGCCAGAACCTATATGAAACAGCCTTTGTTTTTATTGTCCTGTTTTCATTTGAAAGAAATAATCTTGAATATTTTAGATATATCTCCCAAATAATAAAAATACACAAAATTGTATAAATACATTTTTATAGATGCACAAATCTCATATTTTTGGATTGAGTGGATAATGGTGCTGATTATGTACTTACAAAATACATCAAAATTATATTTCTGTAAAATAAAGTTCTCTCTGTGAAAATATTGAAATAAAGTTCACTTTTAAGAGCTGAAAAAGCTTCTTGGATGAGAAGCGAAATGTCTTTAAAGAAAAACCAGAAAGTCCAGTTGCCTCTTGAAAAAGCACCTTTAGGACAACCATGACTTGGATGACTGAGAATCTCCATAGATATTTTCTGAGTTACACTGAGTTGAAGTTTGACAAAATTAATTTTATGTACATCAAATTTTGTCATTGATGTCAGTGGATTTGTAGTTCAACTATTGAAGGGTACCTTTTACTATTAGAGTATTTCTGAATTTGGTGAAGATGGTGATTAGTAGATATGTAAATCATTGTTACATATCTTGGATTATACCGCACACACTGTTTATAATTGTTGATTTTAAATGACTCTGCTTATGTTTCTTTAATCTCAAAAATGCAGGATTGAGTTGTGCAAAGCATTAGAAAAGGATGTTTTGCACAGAAAGTTAACATAGACAAAACTTTGCTTCTCAAATATTAAAGCAGCCATGTTTTCTGGACATTTTTTCTGACATTTTGGTTTGACTTCTGTTTTCCAGATATCTTGTAACCCATCTTATGGGAGCGGATTTGAACAATATTGTAAAATGTCAGAAACTCACAGATGACCATGTACAGTTTCTCATTTATCAAATTCTTCGGGGTTTGAAGGTATTTCCAGTTTCGTAATCATAGTAACACCTCTGTACACTTACCTTCTCCTTGAAATAGAGGCAAATAGATCAATAGAGGCAAAAATGGTATTCAGGCAAAGGCAGTTATTGCATTTTTGCTCTCCTGAATTATATAGAGTGATTTCCTTTTAAATAGATTTGAAGAATGTCTGCCATTTCTGAAATCTGGGATGGAAGCAAAAAAATGCTATTGTACAACTATTGAATTGGCTCTGCTTCTTGCACAATTGAATTTGAACTGGCCCAGCTTTGGCTCTACATTATATTCAGAGGCATTAATGTTCTTACTGTATGGCATTTTTTCATTTGCTTGCACTGCATATGCTATATTTTTATTAGATTTGAAGAAAAGGAGACTGTTTTTGACACTTGAAAAGGAAGGGGGTATAAAAAAGTATTCACCTAATCCCTTCAACTGTTTGCAGTACTACCTACGGGAGAAGAGATCATGCGGTAGATGGCATTGTAAAGTACTCTTTCCACCCCCCTCCCCCTTTGTCATCTAGACAAAGACAGGAAAGATCTCCAACAAGCATGAAAAACATAGTTTTATAATGTAGCCAGTAGTAATATTTCCTCAACCATTTTATTAAATTCAGGAACATAGTTTTTTTCCGTACTCTCCCATAAAATGAGTTCAGGAAATATTGTCCATATTTTTTTTACTGATACTGTTTGACTTCACTCACTCTAGGAAGGAAACGCAGAGTTGGGAAACGTCCTATATTGGCCCAGAGGAAAAGCGGCCTAGATGAACTACATGATGCAAAGCCAAAATTCAGCACTTTGTTTTGGTTAACAAAATGGGCAGTCCTAGAAGAAAACATGTTTTCATCTTGTACAATGTGGGGCAAATTGAAAATATGTTTTAATTTTGGTTTACAAATTTAAACATGTCTTTGTATCTGGATAAATCTTCACTTTGCCCATTATTATTTTTTTGGAAACTAGAAACTAATGGAAAAATATGGAGTGACAACAAAATAAATCAGCCAAATAAACCATAACTAATTTGCTCATCTCAGCAACTTTTTATTTTTGGGTGCCAACGAGTCTCTGTTGATTCCTGCTGACTGCCTGGACAAGTCCCTGCAGGGTTTTTGTTTTGTTTTGCTTCTGGGCATCTTTTCAGAAGAATTTACCATTGTCTCCTTTCTAGGGCTAAAAGAGAATGACAGGCCCAGTCACCTTAGTGCCTAAGATGGGACCAGAACTCACAGTCTCTCAGTTTCTAGTTTGGTTTAGTACTAGTTATTATAACTCCATAACACGAACAGTAACAAGTACGTTAAGATGGAATTGGATTAAGAGAATTTGACTCTCCTAAATGTATATAGGGTTAGTGAGCATATATTTAATCAACTTTCATTTTTTTGAAATCTGTCCAAACTGCCAGACATTCCCTTAAAATGTTATGGTGTAATTGGTGGTGAGATTATCTAATTGCTCAGATTCCAGGGCACTTTGAACATAGATATTTTGAATCAAAATGTAACAAGAAAGGATTATATGTAAAGAATGAAAATTTTACATTACATTACTGTTTTTCATGTAGGCATTTTAAAAAAATTCTAGTTGCAGATATTTGCTTTCCTATAGAAAGAAGCTGAAATCAGGCAAAAAAGGTACAATTACTATATCATGAATGCTGTATTAAATGGAGTAGGAAAAACATGTTTTTATCATAAGCAAATTGAAAATATTGCCCTAAATCTAATTAATATTAAAACTTTTATATTTTAGTATATCCACTCTGCTGATATAATACACAGAGTAAGTATTATTGTATTATTAAAACATACAATATTTTTAGTTTATAGTATAATTCTTCTGGAAGACAAAATATTGAAATTTTATAAATGAAAATAATTAAACATATCCATATAAAGGAAGACATTGTACATCCAGCTTTGTTACAGTGTTGATTCCACTCAACTTTCCCACTTATTTTCTCTGTTAAAATGCAGTATGCCGTTGGTAAATTTTTATAGTAAATGCAATATTGTATGTAAATGGCTTTTTTATGAATAATCTTACACATTTTTGTATAACATTTGTGGCTGTTATACAATACTGTACAGGTTATAGAAATTATGAATAAGATGTGACTGTATTTAATAGCTTCATTTTGAACAGCTATTTTAATATGGTGGGCTGATTCTTTTTTTCCTCCTTTTTATTTTAGGATTTAAAACCTAGTAACCTAGCTGTGAATGAAGACTGTGAGTTGAAGGTAACTTGGAATTAGTATGCCATATTGTTTATGGAAATTAAGCATTTATAATCTTATGTCAAGACCTTGATAGTGAAGTATAGGTACCTATGTATGTATATATGTCCATAATGTTCTTCTGGGTATAACGTAATCATTCTTGAATCATGTTAATGTGATATAGTGTTACTGTTCTTGTATATATTATAAATCCTTGATACCTGTTGTATTTTAAATTTTTCATTTCTGTCTGCCTGCTTAATCTCAGACTTCTTTCTAGTGTAGCTTGCTAGAAAAGATGTGTTCTCTTTCTATCTCACCCTCCTTTTTTATCTTCTTTTGCTCACATTCTTTTTTAATTCTGGCAATATAAATCTGTTTTTCTTATTTTTCAGATTTTGGATTTTGGGTTGGCACGGCATACAGATGATGAAATGACAGGATATGTAGCAACCAGGTGGTACAGAGCTCCTGAGATCATGCTGAACTGGATGCATTACAATCAAACAGGTATGATGTTTCATAAGCCTAAACTCTTACTATCAAATAGCACAGGTTGTGCTCCATAATACAGTTATCCAGATCCAACCTAATAAACAGTGTATAATTTTTACAGTATAATTTGGTTGTTTTTGGAACTGTTTAATAGTTCTTCATCTGAACTTATCTGTTCTTATATATTACAGTAAGTTTGTGATATGTTTTATGTTCCCATGCTAATTAATCATTTTAGTATTATTAGGTACCTATTGCACTTGTTTCATACCATACATTATCACCACTATATTTCATTTTGAGGTAAATAGATATTATGCAAAGCCCAAGAAAGGTCTAAAAATTGGTAAGCAAAAGAAATTAAAATCAGGATACATAAGAAAAGGGAGATAAAATATAGTTTACACCGACAGTTATTTACTGTACCATATACTGGGCCATTTACTATTTCAAATAGTCTTTTATGCTGTAAAGTTACTGAATTGCTTTGAGAAAATTACCAGTCTTTATCCAATCATCACTTTCTTAGACTTGCTCTTCTTTTCAACCTATTAAATCTTCCTTCAAGTAGTGGTTTTGTTATCTGACACGCTTTCATTCTCACTATATTATCATGCTACCTCAGTATACATTTTTGTACCAGTCACTCAGATTTATATTCCATCCATGATTTATCATCACCTTTTCATTCTTGACCCTATCCTTGTTTTGCCACATGCACTTCTTATTCCCATTGCATTAAATAAAATAAAAAATTATTTCCCCTGACAAACCGCTCTCATTCCATATTAAGAACTATGCAGAGTCCTGCTGTTGTACATGGCTTGTGTTTTCAGAATGCTCTGAGTTTTCAGATCCCTGATTTTTTAATTATCTCCATTTACTAGTCATAATGTTACATTAAACATAATTAATAGTTTTTATACACACATAGTACTGTATAATCTAAATGGTACCAGTTCATAGTTTCTGATATGTTTTATCAGTTTCATTCATAATTTAATTTACACAAATACTTTTCTCCATACATGTGTATCTGGGGGTACACCTCTCTCTCCCTCCCTCTGCCCCTGTGTGCGTGTGTGTGTGTGTATTGGATCACCTTAATTAATTCTACCTCTTTCTCTTAGTTTTACAACATAATCTGTTTTTTTTTCATTCTTAACAACTACATGCACATTGTATAGAATTTTTTACCAGTAGAATATTTCAGTTGAGGTTTGTAACTGTTAATTTCCTTTTATCTTGATTTGTTTTATCCTCAGTTGATATTTGGTCAGTTGGATGCATTATGGCTGAACTTTTGACTGGAAGAACACTATTCCCTGGTACAGACCGTATCCTTCAGAAGCACCTATCAGTAAAATAAAACAACAGGTTGAACTAGAAAGGATATATTATTTAATATGAAGCTATTATACTGAACTTGTGCAAATTATTGCAGGGCTATTTTGTCAATCTCGATTTAGGAAAATTAATTCATTATCTTAAAGAAAGGTGTTTTTTTTGTATGTATTTGAAATGGATTGTCGTGGCCTGGTATTTAACTATGGTTGAGAAGAAAAAAATGTATTGTTGCCATAGAAATGACATTGTTAAGAACATCCCGTGATGTTCTATTAAGAAAAATACATACGTATGGGAATATTTGGTGGGAAGGTAACCGCATTCTGTGCACCTCGGCATATAGTCATGCTACATGACCTCAGAAATGTCTATGAACAATACTGGCTCCCTCAGCTAAGAAACGGATGAGCACCAGTCCCCTAAAATCAGACACGACTGTACAGGGAAAATCTTTACCTTTATGGGAATATTTATGAGAATAATAGTATAATGAATATATTGTCCTTTGAATATTCTCCAAATAGTAAAATATACATTTTATTTCTAGTTAAATTAAAGTGTAGTCCTCTTTGGTCTTAATGTTTCAAAAATAATGTCTTCCTAAAGAGAATACTAGCTTCTCAAATTTTAATTATATCACATTAGTTTAGGGATCAAGTAGGTTTATCTATTACTTCGTAGTCAGTCTCTCTTTCATTTCTTTTATGTTGATGCCCTTATAATATAAAAACAATAGAAAGTATTTTTATTTTGAAGACTTATGTTAAAAACACCTCAGTAACTAAGTTATATTTTTATATAGTATGTGTTTGTTGTATTTTCTTGTGGGTCTTTTGTAGTAGAAAGACACACATTATCTTTATACTATCAGTATGTCCTTTTCTTGAATAAGCTTCAACAAGAGTGAGTAGAGAATGGTTTATTCATTTTTTTTAGTTTTTTCAATTCCCTGTTTTTTCAGGACATCTTAAAGATGGACATGGACATCTTAAAGATGCACATGGCACACACTTAGTAAGAATGCTAGGGTTATCACTGCAAATAAATGCATTGAGAACCAATAATTTGCAAGAAACTTTTATTGCCAGCATTTAAGCCCTGATCTGCAGGTACAGTTGATCCTCTGAAGCCTTTTAAAGTCTGTTTAGTGGATGTGGATGTTTTAAATTTTTATGATAATCAAAGAACCAGTTCTCTGTGTTTGTTTGTTTTTAACTTTCATTTATATTAGATTTTACTATTATATTTTTTTTTATTAAAAAAAAGAAAGAAATTAAGTTGTGTAGATGCAGTTTGTTAATGTTTGCTATACAAACCTGGATTACATGTTTCAAAAATTTAAAAGAAGATTGGGTACTTAAATTTAAGCATATTAATACGTTCAGTCAAGTTTGTGTTGAGTAAAATCTAAGACTATAACTGATAGATACATTTTAAATATTCTTTCTTCTACCCTACCCTGACCCTGTTCAATGTAATATTTCAATTGTGAAGTTGTGTTCTGAGAAGTGTGTGATTAATTTAGTTGAGATGAACTTTTAGACCGTGTTTGTACACTGTAGCAAACTGTTCTAACATATGATTTTTTTGAGCATAGTTATGGTGCCCATAAACTGGGATTTACACATTATTAAGGTGGTTTCAAATGTCACACATTAATCCCAAATTATGTACACTCCAACATGTTTATGTGTGGTGTGAACTAGACCTGAATTTAAATTCTTCTCTCAGCATAAAGTATTATAAGAAAATTGTCTACATTGGCACACAATTTATATTATGAAAATATTCTAAGTTATTAAAACTTTTGAAAAGATAATTTCAAAATATTATGTTGTTTTGGTATTTGCTTATTACCTACTTTGATTATAGATCAACAGTCTGAATAAGATATTTGGCTTTTACACAATTCATTGCTGATGATTTTGGCAAGCTTCAGTTATGGGACTTCCCGGTCCTTAAAGATGAATCTTACTGCTACTTGCATAGCCTTTTAATAGAATTTGTTTTGGATAAATTATTCTTATTTTAGTTGTACTTCTGCTAATTACTTATTTAAGTGTCCTTGAATTGGGACCTTGGTGATTATATGGACAAATGCTACCCATCTCTGCCTGACCATAATTGGTAATTCTTTCTATGACATTTCAGTGACCACTTAGATCCCTTCATCTACTTTATCCATTGTTTTCTACTATTGTCAACCCTACTGAGTACATTATCCATTCATAGTGAGTCCATGCTTCTTGGTTATTTTCTAAAGGAAGTAGTTTTTATTTTCTCCAGAACTAATTTATTGTTTTTCTTGCAATCTGTCTTTCTCTTTCCCCAGTGTCCTATTTTCACTGTTGTGGTATTTACCAGCATAAAACCATTGCTTTAACTATTCCTCATTGCTTTGATATGTCTTAATTCTGAAACAGGGACATTATGAAGTTTTGTAAAGTTCTATTTTATATTTCATGTTCCATTAAGTCACACTTTTTGAGTCATAAAACTGATTCACTTATTCTGTTTTCTTTGGCTGTTGTTGTTTTATCTTGCTGGTCATTAACTGTACAGTAATTAAATGAAAAATCTTTGTCATATGTTTTCCCTTATCTATCATCACCTTGTCTAAGATGCTCATTGCCTCCCTGTCCAGGACTAATCCTCTCTTTCCTTCTTCAGCAAGTCTAAGAAAATAAAAATATCTGTCCTCTTATTTCTTTACCATCATGTGTTAGTTTGCTAAGCATGCTAATTGATATAACTTTTGTTATAATATTTAACCAAGATTTTTGTTTTCCGTTTTTAATTCACAATCACCTCTTCTGAGCATTCTTTACTTTGAGTAACAAAATAATATTTGCGTATCTCAAATTGTCCATGTTTTAAAATTCAGATTTGATTCTATCTATCATGTCTTTCATTATTATAAAAGATTAATTGTAAAAATTAAACAGATAGTAAAAATTAAATAGGTACTTTGTCTCTCTCCATTTGCTACCTAAACAAGTCTGTTTCTTCTAACTTGATTTTTAACAATACCTTCTTGTTCATTGTAGCTACTCCAAAGAAGAATCATCAGGTATTTTGAAACACTGGTTAGCTATATTATATTCCACATTGGTTAACTATATTTTATTCCACATTCTGCATAATAAAGGGTTTTACTGTTTTCAATAGAGAGAGGTAAATATCTGTCTGCTGTTTTTGTTGACCATCTGCTGTTTTTGTTGACCAGATACCTATCTGTTCATTTAGCTCTTTCTTTTCTGAAATCTGATTGTTCATTTGATATTTTTATCTATGTATAACTGTATTCTTCCATATAAAAAATGAAGTAACATTTTGCTTGCACTTCATGCTTATTTTGATGGCCTAATTTTTGCCTGGTTCATGCTTCTCATATTTCAAGCTTCAATAATATGCACCTTTATAAAATTTAAAAAAACTTATCATTCAGTTCTGGTACCAACTGTGATTCCATCATTGATCTGACTATGTCCTTATAAAAATTTTGAATTCTTTGCCAATAATTTAGTGGGATGCCTTCTAAGAAATAGAGCAGTGGGGTAGCTCACCAATTATTTGGCATCCTGGTCTATCTAAATGTTTCATCTATATCCATGTAGTTTTTAGGTCAACAGTACAGAAGTATTTTGTCATTGCCTTCTTCTAAGTGGTCAACTTCTTCCATATTTCAGAATCCAAGTTCTCCTCCTTGTAGTTATAGATTACTCTTAGATTCTCTTTTAATCTGACTGCAAAGGTGAGCCTACCTGGAATTGTGGCGTCATTTCCAGAATATAATTCAATCATCTTAATCATGTCAAAGTTATAATTCTGTATAAGAATTTTCTTCCGTAACTGATTTTCTTCTGTAACTTTCTTCTGTAACAAATGATTCTTTGGATTGGTTTCAAATAATAAAATTTTAGTATTTTCAACTGCTGATACAAAATGTTCATCAGTTGCTATCTTAACATATCTTCAATTCTCTTCGAAAATATTATATATTATAGATAGGTAATGGAGAAAAATAATTTGAATGCAGTAAATAAAATGGTTTCAAGAACATGTAATCTCTAATTTAGTTCATTTTTCAAATTATTTTTCAAATAATGTAAGCATTTATCGTAGAGAAAGCAAGGTATTTGGAACAATTAGTTTTGTTTGTTTGGAACTACACACAGCATTTTATTGATAAGAATTAAAGCTTTGTATCTCTATGGTCAGAATAATTGTATTAATTAAATTTTATGGAGTTAATAAGAATAATTTTATTTAGTAATGTACATCACAACTTTTATAAGATAGGTTGCTTGAAATTCAAGCTGAAATTCTTCCTGTTTCAAATAATTATGTATTGTCTTGACATTTTTCTTATTGATTTTGGATAATATATTTGTAATACAAATAATTCACTAGTTTGGGAGAAACTGAGGGAGATAATTGAATTAGTGGGCTATAAGCAAAAAAATTTGTTCTATATTAAAACTAGTCTCAAACATGTTACTTAATGTAGGCTTTAGAAGTAAATAATAGTAATTATTACAATGAGTAGCACCCATGCATGCCAGTTTTTGTACCTGACACTGAATCTTCATCTTGCTAATAACTCTGAGCTAAGTACATCTAACTTAAAACCATTTCAGTCTTCAGTATATAAATTAGGTATTATATTGCAAAAGTGTATTGCATTAGGAAATGGTTTGAATGATATGGAGGAAACCTAAATTAACTTGGAAATACTTTGATAGCTAATAAAAATGCTTTACAGACCTCTATTAGTGATAGGTTGATCTTAGAACTTTAACTATACTCTTGTCATATTTTTCATCCGTTAGACAAAAACCTAATTATGTCGGCTGTACAATTTTATATTATCTATATTACAGTGGTCGTCAACCGGTGGGCTGGGGACCACTGGTGGTCCGCAAGAAAATTTTGGGGGTCCGCAGAGAAATGTCCCCCCAAAGCAATTAATCCAGTGCAGGAACACAAGACTGTGCCGCTGACATGGCCCACACACCCACTGGTCCCCACCCTTCGGCTAAACGCAAACCTTACCTTAAGTAGAGCCACGCGAGCTGGAACTGGAATGTAAGACCAACAGTAGGGGAGGGGAAATCCGCCTCGGGGTGGCTTGCTGACATTGGTGGGAAAGTTGGTTCCACATTCCAGAGCTGCAGTAGTCACAAGACTGGCCCTTTGGTAATCCTGGAGTAGCTCCTCCAGTCCATGGCAGGCCAGTGCACCCGGGTGGAGGAGCAGCTGCTCCAGGATGACCAAAGGGCCAGTCCTGTGACTACTGCAGCTCTGGAATATGGGACCGACTTTCCCACCAACGTCAGCAAGCCACCGTCATTCAAAATTCATATTAGTGGTCCGCAGGATTTAAAATTATGAGTTTGGTGGTTCCTGAGGTCCAAAAGGTTGGCGACCCCTGATCTATAAGACATTCTCAAAATTCTGAAGAAGGCCTGTATTCTACATTACTGCTATTGTATTCAGAACTATGTGTTACTTTTATGAACAGAAAAATAATAGCTTGTGGAGGTAAAGTCACAATGTTGAGAATAATTTCATGAAATTGCGTTGCTCTGATGAATGGTCACCTCCAGAAGTTAATTACTTCTAGTGTTCCATATTGCCTAGATATATTTAGCTATATAGAATTTCCAGGAGGTATTTGGGATATGTATTTATACATAAGAGATATGCTAATTTTGCTTATAATTATTTGGTTGAACTTTTCCCCTTTTATTTTATTGGGCTGCTGCTTCTTCATTTTATTTGTCCCAGAATTTTCCTTTATGGTCCATTGTTAGATATTGATCAGTTGAAGCTCATTTTGAGACTCGTTGGAACCCCAGGCCCTGAGCTTTTGAAGAAAATCTCTTCAGAGTCTGTGAGTTTAAAATTTGATTGTAATGACTCCCTTATGTGGATTTCTTTTATTTTATTTGCTCTGCTGTCATGAAGATTGTCTCTATATTTTTTTATGTTTGGCTTATTTTCTTCTTTATTTCTATAGGCAGCTTGATTTTTCACTGTTCTTCCTCTATATTGTTTTTCAGTTAACTAGTTCCTCATATTATTCATTTTTTGTTTCTCTGTAGGCTATATTAGGCTTAGCTAAACATTAAATATACTTTATGCTATTATATAGACATTTTCACACATACTATTTAAAGACTACATGCAATAGTGCATGCACAAACTCTGAAATGGGTGTCCTTTTTCCTTACTTCTCCTATTTCCATGCATGCCCTACATTTGTTCAGGAAAATCTAGAATCTGTTTTTCGTACCATCAACCAAAATTTGTACCAATAAGCTATTGGAATAGATAATACAGTGTGCCCTCTCTATTAAATGGATTGTGCATTAGAGGTGGGTCTTTGTAACTTGAATTTGTATTATCACAGACTTTTAACAATCCATGAAATGAAGTATTTGAATTGCAGTTATTACTTGTTTCAAACCAACCTTCACACACCAAATTTGAGTGTTCTTCATGCATGCAAGAATTCCTTGTCGGCATGACCTTTGCTGAGAAATCTGAATGTTACCTCATGTAATGGTGCTTCGGGTTGCACAATCCATTTAAAGTTCAAATCATGGAGTCATAAAATTGTAGTCTAATTATTCTAGTCTTTTTTTTGTAAGCAGAATTAAAATACATTTGCAGCGTAATCACTAGCACATTTTGCCTTTCTATATGAGTAGATTTTTTAATATAATTTCAGTATAAATAATTTCATCATCAATGAAATTAAAAGAAACTGTAGGAATGGTTGAAAAATGCTTAATTCATGCAGTCCAGGAAGATTTGATTTAAAAAAAGGAATGTATATATCATGTGGATGTATAAAACAACTATTTTTAAAAGAAAATTCCGAATGAACATAAAGAAATACTGTAGATTGTAAAAAGAATCATGCTCAAGAACTTCAAGGGAAACAATGGTTAAGAAATATGAAATTTAATTAAATAAATAAACTTACTATTTGAACAGGTAAAAACATGACAGTTTGAAGAAAACTATATTGTAAAAATTCTAATTCTGGAGAGATTTAGAAGAACCGGCTTATTGAGAAAAGGGGGGGGGGGAAATAACTCCTCTGAAAAAAGCATGTGCATCGGTTTGGTAAAAGCATGAAAACTAATTTTCCCTGTGTGTTGTGTAATAAAAAATACTTGTCTTTGTGCTTGACAGCTTGGAAATCAGGGTCTACTTTCCAGGTAAAAGGGTTTTTCCCCCCTTACAGCTTCATTGGTTGCAACTGTCACATCAACTCCTTTATACATGCTGGGTTTTGCTCTGCTAGTTGCCAACTCAAGATCTCAGGAAAGAGCATGCTGGATAATGCAAAATGTTATTAAAGAGTATAGCACGTCGATAAACAGCACCTTGTCATCTGAAAAAGCTTTCCAACAAATAATTGAGACAAAGATTTTGGTTAGCCTAGTCATTGGTTTGAATAACTAATGTGACATACAGATCTGATAAATGTAACATTAACATACACAAAGTATAAGACTTATTAGGGATTGGTTTTTCTGAGAATAAATAAAAGACAGTATTGAAGATCAAGGTGTTCACAGAACAATTCGAAATTCTGGCCTTCTAACCTGGAATCTGTGTTTCAGAGATAGGGAAGCCAGGTTTTTCCCCCCCTGTAGCTCAGCTGATCCTTGAGAATATATAAGTCTTGCTGTTCTTGTCAGTATTAGTAATATCTTAAAATAATATCATGGTATTTTCCTAAGCCTGGTTAGGACAAATTTTTCCTCTTTTCATGCTCACTTTTTATATGGCTAACAATATGAGATCTTGATAATTACCAGTTGCCTTAACTTGCATTATTTGTTAGTATGGAAATTGGCAATACCAAGGCTTTATTCTTTGACTGAAATTTTTCCCAGAATTGTTCAGTTATATTAGTTGTCCAAAGGAAGAGAAAATGGAGTCTTTACACTTTCCAATGTGTGCTTCAATTCCCTTTCTAATTAATCTCATCGTATACAGCCTCTTGTTTATACTTGCCTTATCTGGGAGAAAACAAGTTGCCCATCTTTTCCCATGTGACTTTTAGCTTGATAACAAAAAATCAGCAATGAGTGAGTAATTAATCTGACCTCTAGTTGCAGATAAAGATATACATCTGCCATAAAAGTTAAGGAATTGAGCTTCTGCCTAAAGGCAAAATATTAAATGGAAGTTGAAAAATCTGGTATCCCTTAGTTTAGTTTGGTATTTACAATATCATGAATTGGTTAAAATCTCTTTTCTTCCTTCCCTATTCAGGCAAATTGTGATTTAGAATGAAGTGTCAATCATGGAATTAAATAGACTAATGTGTGCTCTTTTTTTTTTTTTTTTGCTAGTCACTTGTGCACACTTGGCTTTAGTTGATTTCTTTTATTCACTGACAAACTAGTATTTTTGTGCTTTCTAATATTGCATGTATGCTTTGAAAGTTTATATCTATAGGAAAGATTCTTAGCTGCTGTACCCTCAAGGCATTCCATTATGTAGCAAAAGAGTAAAAGCTAATTTGAGCATTGACACTGTTGAAATAGTAACAAAGCCCTTGACAAGGCATTTTAAGATATTAACCAGCTTCAGCAAATCATGCGTCTGACGGGGACACCCCCTGCATATCTCATTAACAGGATGCCCAGCCATGAGGTGAGATCTTAGGAGGATGTGCACATTGGTCTGCAATTTAAAACATTTGATTATTTTATTCACTTTAATATTTTTAACTTTCCAAGGGCACCCAAATTTAAACAATTATAAAGCTATTTATAACAATCTACTCCCAATCTAAAAGTTCTTATTGACCTGAGGATCTGGTTCCTCCACTTCTCTCCATGTAATTCCAGCATTTCGTGTTCCAGTAGTAGGTACAATTGCAACAACAACATTGTCTTTACAATTTATGTAAAGGATAATACAAAGGGAACTCTGTATATTTTTAAAAGAAACAATATATTAGGTGTGAATAATGGGAAAGATGTTTTTGAGTGTGAGGTTTTTGAGTGTGAGGTAATGTGAGGTTCATTAAGGCAGTTTTGAGGAAGCTCATATTAGTACAGTTAGTGCTTCAGGTGAAATCTTGTCCCACTCCACTAAAGTTTTAGTACTAGAAAACCAATAACAGATCTGTACAAACTAAAATTTTAGAAAAAGGTGCTGTGAACATATATTTCCCAAGAACTTTTAAAAGCTGTGCTTTATAGCAACTGAACTTTTCAAACTGTCTTCACAAGAAGTTTTACGTGTAGGCAAATTACTGTAGTTCAGTGAAGACATAACCAGAAGCAAATCTAAATTGTTGAAAGTCATACATTTTTGTCTATTCTTCTTAATACAATTGTACATCTCTCATTTAATTGGTATACTTGTCCCATGCAGATGTTACTCTGCTGTAATATTTTGCAATGAATCAATGTTCCAACCATCTAAGATCATTCAGGTGCCATTGCTATTGTGTAGCATATCATAGGTATTGCCTATGCAGTGCATAAGACCCAAATCCTAGCCTTTATTTATATCATCACTATCATGCTGAGTATAAAAATGAGAAGATAAAGTTAGATAGTAATTAAAAAACTCAAATCAGATGAAGTCAAAGTAAAAAAACAGGCCTACAAAGAAACTTGCAGTGATTAAGAAGCATACTGGTAGTTTAATAACATGTTTTATTTTCCTCCAGGCAAGAAATTACATACAGTCCTTGTCTTACATGCCGAAGATGAATTTTGAAAATGTATTTATTGGTGCGAATCCTCTAGGTAAGGCTTAACAGTCGTTCCACCACAGTGGAGAATATAAAATGCATGTAAACCAAGTTTGTGAACACCATTTTGGCATGACAGATAAAGCATACATTTCACACATGCATAGTGAAGATGACTTTGGTTTCATTTGTATACAGTCATTCAGGCTTATTCATAACACTAAATCTATCCCATTTCATTCCTTCTGCCAGGAGATAAGGTTAAGCATCCCAGATGTTCATTTCATGGTTCCTTTAGCATCAAATGTGAACCAAGAATGTTTGGTTTGTGTCATTCACCTGTTTTAATAATTTAATAGATTCTGCGCCTTGCCATAAAACTTATTATAAGGGGAGGTTTTTCTAGCAAGTGCAACAAACTGTTTATTCCTCAAAACACAGTTTTCCATTCAATTGAGAACTAAGAAGTATCAGGACCTTCTATGGATAGAGAGAGTCCATAGATGGAAATTCCAATTGTAGCACTAAATAATTTGGAGAAAACAAGAAGTTACCAGTATAGTAACTGAAAGTCCTAAACCCAACCTATATTTTCTGAAATACATGTATTTAATAAATGCCAAGTTTGGTAATTTTATTATGGCTGAGGCAACCAACCTGATTATGTGAATGAAGGTTGGTTGCCTCAGCCATAATAAAATTATGTGAATACATAATCAAGACCTGGAAGAGCCCAGAAGCAGCACCCCTCTGTCTGAAATAAGCCCTCCTGAGTTTTTGGCATGGCCTGGGGAGGGGGGCAGTTTTCATCTGCAAAGTTCTTATGGCTGTTCAAGGTTCTGAACCACAGATAACCAGATGGAAGATCCTGTGCCTGAAGTTAGGCTTTAGGGAGTAGTTGATTTGTTGCTGCTGTACCAGCTTACCTGCTACTCAATGAGAACGCTACATAAGTTGCTTGACTTTGTTGCTAGTTAAAACAGTGGAATCTCAAAGAAATTTCATCCTGCCCACATCTGATGTATTGTCTCTGGAGCAGCCCAGTAATTCATGAACTTCATGGTTACCTCAGTGATGCTGTCAGCATTTGATCCCAGGTCCTGGAGTTGGTGCCCAAGCAAGCCAACCAAGAGGCTAACCATGTGAAGATTGTCTGGTTCGGAAGACTTTTCTTATGTACTTCTAAATGAGGCTGGAGTTTCCCTGATGAAACTTACGTGAAATGTAAAGGTTCTCCGTAGAACTGCTGCGAGCATCCAGAGAGTGGGAGGTGCTCCAGTCTTCACTTCTCACAGGCTGAGCTATAATTGAGGAACGCTCCTCCTTCCTCCATGTGACTCCTCCCTGCGTTCCCCCAGTTTTAGCTCAGCCTTCGAGAAAGACAGGCAGCTTTTCTACTGTTCCTTGGCCGTTTCAGGTTTTGCATTTCGCTGTGTCAGGTTTGCTTGCTCCATTTATTTCCTTGTCCCTGTACTTTGAAAGTGGTCCTAAATTTAGTTAAAGAGCGTTTTCGCTCTCAGGAGGGAGATAAGGGGTCGGAGCCCTTTCGCCCCCCCCCCCCCCCCCCCCTTCTTTTTCCTCTGCCGTTCCAAGCGTGCTGTGCTCAGCCGCTTGGCCCCGCGCTATTTTTAGCGCGTAGTTGCATCTTCCCCCCAGAACGCCTTAGTGGAAGCAACGCTTCCTCTCCCAGCCCTTTATTTGTATTTCTTGCCTTTTTGAAGTTGTGATTCGGGCTGGTGCGTCTCTGAGCTGTGCGCTTCGAGCCGGGCGGCCATTTTGGACACGCCTCGTGGCCGGCGCCATTTTGGTTCATTTTTTTAAAAAATAAAGATTTTTATTTTTACTTTATTTCGTGAGCTGCGAGGCCTTAGTAGGCCCTTAGCGGGACCGTCAGGCCGCGTGGACCCCCTTTTCTACCTGGAGGGCACTGTGGCTCCGTGCCCTGTTGTCTCTCTTGGTTAGATATTGTTGGCTTTTCTTTCCTTGCCCGCAGCTCGCTCAGAGGCGCAGGCACGTACTCCCCATTGTTGTTGGGGGGCTGCCTAAGGAGGCCCCTTTTGTCCTGTTTATATATATATATAGTTTCTTGGCCTCAGCGTTCATTTGGTTCATTTGGAATTTAGGTTTGAGGTAGTAGGTTTTTACTGCTAGAGTCTGATTGGCCTTCCTTTCTTTTGGGCCCGGCCCACAAAATAATAAATAATTTTTGTATATAAATAATAACTTTAGATAGATTTTTTTCTTCTTTTATTACATAGAGTTCAAAAAAATAATAATAATAATTAATAAATAAATAAATAGTTAGATAAATTAGTTAGAATTAAGAGAATAAAAAAAAATTTCTTCAAAAAGGGGGACGTGACCCAACCTTAGGAAAACCAGCTTGCGTAGTAGGCCGAACTCCTGGGCGTGCCAACCGCCTTTCCTTGTTGTCAATCCTTTATTTGATACCATGGCAGAGGCCAATCCTACTGGCTCTTCTCTGAAGGCCAAATCTAAGACACACTATCTTCGCAAAAGGGACAAGGACTCTTCCAATACGTCTCAAAGAGATGCATTAAGGCGCCATAAGGCCCTAGAAAAGGAGTTTAGCAAACGGGCTAAAGAATCACATTCTGTAACACCTGCCTTACCTTCTACCTCCCCCCCCGCCAAGTCAATCTTCTCCCTCCAGGTGCGGTACCACCACCCAAGGCCGCCAGCCCACCCGTACGCCCGAGGCGACCTTCACGCCAACCGCTGCAGGCCTACGCCCTGAAGATCCTGATTCAGCCATCATTCCAGATAGTATTAAAGAGTGGATGCAGTCTGCCATCCGTCAAGGTATAGCCGAAGGAATGCAGCAGCTGTCCAGACCGGACTACCGAGGGAGGACTCCCGAGGTCGGGTCTTTATCCGGAAGGTCTCTCTCCGGACCAGCGTCTCAGCATGGTCAGGTACCTTCCCATATGGATGCCCCATTCCCAGAGGGGGAGGATACCCAAGAAGAGGAGGCAGTGGGCCTTGAGCCCTTCGAGGAGGACGAAGGCTCTGATAGAGGGTCCTTACAGTATTCCGAGCCTTTTCTTGAGGCAGACCCCATGGAGTGGGAAATGTCAGAAGATGAGGGCATTTTTCCTGAGCAACCTGCTGCTGTGGGCCTTTTTAAACCTCATTTATTTAAGTCCTTATTATTTAAGGCAAAAAACGTTTCAGGTCTGACCTCGCAATCTCCCTCTGACCCTCCTCCATCGAACCCAGAGGGTCCAGATGACCTAATGTTCAGACAGCCGGTGGTAGAAACTGACATTATTCCGACCCCCCGGATCTTTTCAGATTTGGTCGCAAGGCAGTTGGCTTCGGTGGGTCCTTCTCCCGCCCCCTCTAGCCAGGACAAGAGGTTGTTTAACCTTGACCCGGATTTCTCCGCTATGTTAGACACACCGGAGGTAGATGATCCGATTGTAAGACTAGCCTCTTCCTCCAATCCTACCGATGCGCTGGAGGCGTTGAAGCCGGAGGACAAGCGGGAAGAGATGGCGCTCCGGCGAGCGCACCAATCTGATGCTTGGGCCATTCGGTCGGCCACTGCCGCCTCCTTCTTCACCCGGTCCTCCATCAGGTGGCTCAGGCAGCTGAAGCAGCATATCCCCCCAGATAACACCAGAGCCCATCAGGATATTGCAAAGATCACGGCAGCGGCAGAATTTGCAGCCGACGCCACCTTTCATTCTGTTAAGTTTTCATCCCGAGCCATCTCTTCCCACGTAACTGCCAGAAGATTGCTTTGGCTTCGACACTGGCAGGCTGACATCAAAAATAAGTCCAAGTTGGCTTCAGCCCCCGTATCAAGGGGAAAGCTGTTCAGGGCCGCTCTTGAACCATTGCTTCTGGAAACTCGGAACAAGAAAAAGTTCCTGCCCTCGCTTTTTCGTAGGCAAGAAACCAGGGGATCCCAGCCCTTTCGGAGGGGCTCCTTTCGTCCCCCCTTCCAGTCATCATTCACCCCTAGATTTCAGGGTTCCCCGTCATTCCGGTCGTCCTACCAGGACCGGGGTGATTCGGGAGACAGAAGCAGGAGAGGGGGCAGCTACAGAAGGCCCTTTAGGGGTGCCGGGAACAGGGCGTCCCGCCGACCCAGATAGGATTGCAGGTTCTTATCCCATAGGTGGCCGCCTCAGGCATTTTGCCGACCAATGGGAGGAATCCACTTCAGACGCCTGGGTCAGGAACTCCGTGCGTTTTGGCCTGGCCCTGCAGTTTCACACTTCCCCGCCTGAACATTTCAGGATTTCACCCATCTCTAGGGATCCTACTAAGCGGGCCCTTATGGCCTGCGCCATCAAACATCTGTCTGATATTAGGGCCATCCAACCTGTGCCACCCTCACAACGAGGAAGGGGTTTCTATTCCCTCTTATTCTTGGTGCCTAAGCATTCTGGGGGTTGGAGACCCATTTTAGATCTTAAGAGGCTCAATCGCTTTATCATACACCATAAGTTCAAAATGCAGACTCTACAGTCTATTTTGCAAGGCATCAGAGAAGGGGATTGGCTTACGTCTGTTGACCTCTCCGAGGCTTATCTCCATATCCCCATCCATTCCTCGTATTCCAAGTATCTGAGGTTTTGCTATAATAATCAGCATTTCCAGTATGTAGCCCTTCCCTTTGGCCTCGTCTCGGCCCTGAGGTCCTTCACTAAGGTGTTGGCGGCTCTGGCGGCTCGCCTTAGGCAGGTTCCCATACGTATCCACTGCTACCTTGACGATATCCTTGTTGTATCCCCTTCCCGACATCAGGCCGAGGGTGATACTAACACTACCCTCTCGGTTCTTCAGGCTCATGGTTTTTTAGTGAACTGGGAGAAAAGTCAGCTTAGCCCTTCCACCCGTATAGCCCACCTAGGGGCTGTGATTGACTCTGTTGAAGGGAAAGTCTTCCTCTCTCAGGAGAGGCTCATTAGTATCCACACAACTATCAGGGCTATCCGGCGAACCGAAAAGCATCTTTGCTCAATCTATCCAAGCTGCTTGGGAAGCTGGTTTCTTGCATTTCTATTATCCCATGGGCTCGCTTGCATTCCAGATCCTTGCAGTGGTTTTTCCTGCCATACCAGCGTTCAGGAAGGAGCACATCAGGCCTCGTGGTGAAAGTGCCTCCAAGGGTCCTCGCCTCCCTCCTATGGTGGACACGACCATCTGTCAACAGAGGACATCTATTCAAGGAGCCTCAAAGGGTCACTCTCACAACAGACACAAGTCTTTCCGGATGGGGGGCTCACCTGCAGTCTCTATCGGCCCAGGGAGTTTGGACTCCTGCGGAGCGAAGCCGGAGCATCAACTGGTTGGAGCTTCGCGCAGTGTACCTGGCCCTGCGAGCTTTCATTCCTCAGGTGAGAGGGCGCCATGTCCTGGTCCTTATGGACAACACTACAACCAAGGCCCACATCAACCGTCAAGGGGGCACCCATTCCATCCTCCTCATGAGGGAGGCCGAGCGGCTGTGTCGGTGGGCAGAGGCGCACCTGTTGTCCATCAGAGCGGAACACATTTCCAGAACCTCCAACGTCCAGCAGACTGGCTGAGCAGGGCCACACTGGACCAAGCAGAGTGGCGTCTGCACCCGCACCTGTTCAGAGAGGCAGCAGCCAGGTTCGGTCAGCCTCTGGTAGACCTGTTTGCATCTCCATTCAACGCGCAAACGCCAAGGTTCTTCTCTCATTACCCCTCCAACGGGGCAGAGAATCACGATGCCCTGCTTTGCCCGTGGCCTCCCGGACTTCTGTACGCCTTCCCTCCACTTCCGTTGATCCCCAGGGTGATTCGGAAATTGATATTCAAGAGAGCAGAGGTCCTTTTGGTGGCACCGTATTGGCCCAGGAGACCGTGGTTTGCGGACCTTCGCAGTCTGTCGGTAGCTCCGCCGTGGAGGATCCCGCTAGATCAAATCTCTCTGTCGCAGGGCCCTCTACTTCACCCAGAACCGCAGTGGCTTCAGTTAGCCGTTTGGAGGTTGAGCGGGAAAGGCTGATTGAGGAGGGCTTGTCAGCCCAGGTCATTAATACCATTCTGGCTGCTAGGAGACCTTCTACTACTCGTATTTATGATGCAACCTGGAGCAGTTTCTGTAAGTGGTGCCACAAATCATTCATCGATCCACGTTCTCCTTCAATTGCGCAGATCCTGGCCTTTCTACAAGACGGCCTAGATGGGGGCTTATCACCCAACACTTTGAGGAGGCAGGTCGCGGCCCTCTCAACGGTGGTTGCTGGCGGCCCATTCGGTCCTCTTTCCCACCACCCTCGAATTAAGGCCTTTCTTAAAGGGGCTTCCAACTTGCGCCCGCCAGTGGTGCACAGATACCCGACATGGGACCTTAACAAAGTTCTCATGGCCTTGACTAAGCCTCCCTTTGAGCCTCTCAGGGAGGCGCCACTTCAATTTCTCACTTTTAAAGTGGTATTTCTTGTGGCAATAACCTCAGCTAGAAGGATATCTGAAATTGCAGCTCTATCCGTGAGAAAGGACCTGTGTATTTTTCACTCTGATCGGGTGGTTTTGAGACCAGACCCTTCCTTTCTGCCAAAAATCAACTCAGCATTCCACAGGGCGCAGGAGTTGGTCCTCCCTAATTTCTGTCCAAGGCCTTTGCATGAAAGAGAAAGACAGTGGCATACCCTCGATGTTCGAAGGGCGTTGCGTATTTACATCTATCGCACACAGTCCATCAGGAAATCGGAGTCTCTGTTTCTGTCCTTTCAGCCAAAGACACTGGGCTGTAAGGTATCCCCATCCACAGTGGGCCGTTGGATTAGAGCCACCATATCCAAGGCCTATTTGGTTCAGGCTCTTCCAGTCCCCAGTGGAATAACCGCCCACTCCACCAGGAGTGCAGCTACATCAGTAGCCTGGGCCACTCAGGCTTCCATTCTTGACATTTGCCGGGCGGCCACCTGGGCTTCCCCGTCACCCTTCATACGCCACTATAAAATTGATACTTACGCTTCAGCTGAGGCATCCTTTGGCAGGTGAGTCCTGCAGCAAGTGGCGAGAGATACTGAGGAGATTCCGACCCAGACGGAGTCCCGCCCGTAGGACAAACATGCTTTGGTATGTCCCACTCTCTGGATGCTCGCAGCAGTTCTACGAAGAATGGGCGTTGGTTCTTACCTGATACGCCTCTTCTCGTGGAACTGCGTAGAGCATCCAGCCCCACCCTGTTTGATCCGTCTGGTGGGGAATCCTGTTTTGGCCAATGATCTTTATTGTATATAATTAAGTTTTGTATAATAGTTAAGGTTAGAGGGTGTTGTTGTCCTCTCATCTTCGTAAAACTGGGGGAACGCAGGGAGGAGTCACGTGGAGGAAGGAGGAGCGTTCCTCAATTATAGCTCAGCCTGTGAGAAGTGAAGACTGGAGCACCTCCCACTCTCTGGATGCTCTATGCAGTTCCACGAGAAGAGGCGTATCAGGTAAGAACCAACGCCCATTTTCTTGAATTCTTCCTACAGCTCCTGATCAAAGAGTCAGCAGCAGCTGTTACTGTACAGATTCTCATTGTGCAGCAATTGCACATGTTCCTGAAATGGAAGGTTTTTCTAATAGCCATTAAGCCATGATTACCTCATGTTTGGACTGCCAGAATGCACTCTATATGAGGTTGCCCTTGAAGGCAATTCAGAAGGTTAGGTTGGTTCAGAATGCACCATTATGAGCAATTAAAGACATGCTATGGGATGCCCGTGTAGCACCTCTGCTTTGCAAGCCTGCACTAGTTACTGGTTACCATTAGATTCCAAGTCAAGGTCCTAGCTATTCTACAAAACCCTATACAGCATAGGGTCTAGTTGTTTGAGGAACCACCTGTCTTCCCTTATGTGTGCACATCCTGTAAGATCAGACAGAGTCAGCATATCCCAGGTCTTATCCATTAAACAATATGAACCAGGAAGCATGCTTTCTCTTTTGCAGCACCTTGGCTCTGAAACAGTATCCTTCCAGGGATTTGAATGACCCCAACTCTATTGCATTCTACTGTAGTTTATGCAAACACTGAAGACCTAGGTCTTTTCCTAGGCTTTAGGCTAGGAGGAGATGTGGACCCTGTCCAAGAGAGAGTTTTATGTCTATTCCACTAGGACAACTATTTCCTTTTCTGTTATCTGTTATTGTTTTGTTTTTAATCTTTTATATCATCCAGAATCATTTTTGTGTATGTCTGTGTATGTATATATGTTTATGTTTTGTTGGAGATTGCTTCATCTTTTTGCATCTATGAGCTGCTTTATCCACTAGGTGAGTGATAAATATGGGGAACAGCTGTTCCTCTGATTCTCACCTGGCCTTTTATTAATTAAATGAATATTTTTGTTTAAGAGACAAAAAAAGAACTCCACACGCTTCCTCTTCTTAAAGAAATAATTTAGATAAAAGTTATTTTTTTATATATCTTCATTTATTTCTTATGTTTTACTTCATATGTATAATGTGTCAGCTTCCAAGCCTGGATTCAGTTTGACATAATGTCACTTGGTTTTCATTGATAGGTTAAGCACATACTTTGCATTCAAAATAACTAAGCCCATAGTTCTGTTCTAAGATAGGTGGCCATACAGATCTTTTAAATAAATATTATGAACATTCTTCATTTTAAATGGAGTGCTCTGCCTTTTAATTACTCAATATTTTCTGGATGTGAGGCAAAGTTGGCAGAAGAAAGCCCGATGATCTGATATACTCCGAACTCTGCTTGCCAGTTGGTGCAAAGCTAGTTCACTGCCTTGGTGCACTGTGGATAGCGTGCACCCATGAACTAACAAACTTGTAAAAAGTATTTCAGACTTTCTTGGCCATGTATGCCATACACACACATGCAAAAAGAAGCCTCAGTACTTTCAACATTCACTTACACTCAGAAACTCAACCAAGGGTTCCTGCTGAATTCAAATTTTCCAATTCTTTTCTTGGAATGTTGTTTTATAGATATTAAATTCATTTTCTTCTTCTTGCATACAAACTGAATGGCAACATATTGGTATTGGGAAATACTGATTTTCTATAAGTTGATTTGGGATTTTATGAGGAATTGCACATTAATCCCTCTTTTTGGTTTCTCCCCTTGGCTTCTGAAGCTGTAGACTTGCTGGAGAAGATGCTGGTGCTGGACACAGATAAACGGATTACTGCTGCTGAAGCTTTGGCCCATGGCTATTTTTCTCAGTATCATGACCCAGATGATGAACCAGTGGCAGATCCTTATGATCAATCCTTTGAAAGCAGAGAACTTGATATTGAGGAGTGGAAAAGTAAGTTTTCTGGAAGACAGATGTGGTGAACCAAGTATTGCTGATGCCATTCACCAACATCATTGTTGTAGTTCATGTGAAAAAATAAAGATGTCAGGAAGTAATGAAATCTAGTTTGGCAAAATAGGAAGGATGTGCAGAAACATGCCTTTTCAACAGAGAAACTCAGAAAAGTTAGTACAGTTGCATAAAATGAGTCAAGGCCTCTATGACTTACCATTAATATTAAAACACTCCTGATGATGTTTGGTGAAAGAACACTTTGCAAAATCCTTCTCTTCCCTCTAATTTTTGCATTCTACCAAAAAGAAAAAATAGGTTTTTTTTATTTTGCATTCACTAAGAATTCAGTAATCGGAAGGGGCAGGTAAAGGACAGTTATGGGGGACCGGGACAGTTGTAAATAAAGAAAATAAATGGCTGAAACAAAGATAGAAGAAAGGCAGATGGGAACAAGCACATTAGCTTTGTCTTTCTCCTATGGCTGACAATATGATGAGAAAAACAAGCTGTGGAAAGGAAGCAAATGGGCAGGAAGCTGAAGCTGAAGGAGGAGCTGCTTCTGTCAGTTAGGAACTTCCACTGTGGAGACTGAGTGACTGTAGTGGAGGTCCTCACTAATTATGGAGGCTCCGTGGAAAGGGTGGACCCAGGAGAGTCCGAACCTTCTACCAGTGGAGAATTTTAAATGGATAGAGAGGGGGCCTCAGTTGTTGTAGACACTTGCTGCATACTTGTGGGATCCTGAGCACACTGACTGAAAGTAAGCGCCATTGAATCAATGGGGGACATAATACAGAGCAAGTCTACTTCTTGTGTTTTTGCACTTCTTGTATACAAGTGTGCTTGCAATCCAATTTAAGGGCCTCTTTGTCACTCAGTTTTCTTTAGCAAACAGAAGGGAGAGAAAAGGTATCTCAAAGAAACTTTTCCCCAATTTATATCCAGGTTGCTGGAATAAGCTAAATTGCACGTATGCACGCGCGCACACACAAATAACAATAGTCTACTCTGGACATTTATCTGGAATAAGAGCTATTGTTCAATAGGACTTACTGCAAAGTAAGTGTGCATAGTTGCTTATACTTGCTAAGTGGAGATTTTTACAGTTTATAATTTTATAATTGTAAACAAAGTTACAATTTTATAATTGCCCAATCCATTTACAGACAGCCTTCAAGATACAACCATTTTTTAGTGACCATTTGAAGTTACAACAGCACTGAAAAAAGTGACATGGTTGTTTTTCATACTTAGGACTGCTGCAGCATCCCCATCGTCATCTGTGATCAAAATTCAGGCACTTGGCAACTGGCATGTTTTTATGACAGTTACTAACTTAACAACTGCAGTGATTCACATAACAATTGCCGCAAGAAAGGTTGTAAAATGGAGAAAAGCTCACAATAACTGTCTTGCTTGGCAACAGAAATTTTGGGCTCAATTTTAGTCATAAGTCAAGGAGTTAATGTATACAAATTTGTATATCTGTATACAAATGAGTCAGAGCCGTATATTTGTTGGGGGATTGTTTTTTTCCCCTTGTGGGAGTTGACAATGCTATTGAGACAATAGGGAAATTAAGCTGTTCATTTCTAATTTTCTTTTGGGACAAATACAGTACTTGTAATTCAGAAAGGTTTAAGACAGTTTGCACAAAGGTAGTTGGGATGTGGCTAAAGTATACCGTATATCCAGATTCCTATGTGTATTTCCCTACTCACATGTCCGTACTGAATGTTTGAATTAGAACTTGGGAGACATCTTATACTATGAAAATTGGACTATATTTACTGTTATCTAGTTTGCCATTTTCCTGTAAAAAAAACATTTGGGTCTGACTTGTAATTCTACAGTCTGCAAGATTAAAAAAATCTAGTAACATTCTGTCAGGAGAAAGGATTCTTTAATCCATTTTCCAGTGTGTTTTAGAAATACAGCTGTTCCAGAGATTAGGAAGAGGCCAAGAAGGAGGGGAAGTTTCAGGCAATTGTTGGATGTGGCCTTTATCAGCATCCTTTTCTAAAGAAAACTATGGTTATCTCACCAAATTGAAATAACTTTAGAGTCATTTCTTTTCATCATCTGGGGTGGAAGAGTGGGAAGCAGTTATCTCTGAGCTACTGAAAACCTTAACCCATATTTCTTTCTCCATCCACCAGGCCTGACCTATGATGAAGTGGTTAGCTTTGTGCCACCACCACTGGACCAGGAGGAAATGGAATCCTGAGCACCTGTTTCTCTTTGTCCCATATCACTGTGAGGGGAACATCTTTTTCATAGGAATTCTCCACATACTGTTCAAGTGCCTCTTGCCATGAAGATTCTCCTTGGGGGAGGATGTGTGCATGTGTGTATGTGTGCGTATGTGTGAGTGTGTTGGATGAAAAGGACGGAAAAGAAAGATTCAAAGGGAAATATTTATACAGAAACTGTATAAAATTGCATGTTCTCTTGTATTTTTGTACACAGTTTGGGACATGTTTCTGCAGACCTGTTTGATTGCTTTTTTGCCTTTACTGCTGATAATCAGCTTTCATTGCTCTAGGTCTAGGCAGATAGTATGCAGGGAAGCTGAGATTTCAGATGCTCAGTAGAAATCGTTGCCATTAAATGGCTCTTCTACCAAGAAAAGACTTAGAAAATGGAAACTGAACTATTACTTGAACTGTGCTCCCTGCTTTCCAAGATGAGGGGGTGGCAGATTTATTTCAGTTACTTATCCCCACAAAGTCTCCCCACTATTTTATAATAGCAGAAAAGTTGACTCCTGAACATCTCGCTGTCTTCAATATGAAACAGGTGGTGGTGGTGTTTTTAAAAAAGTTTGTGCCTTAAATCAGTGTTTCTCAACTTTTGACAGCTTTAAGGAATATGGCTTCAACTCCTGGATTTCTCCAATCTACATTCTGGCTGGGAGATTCTGGGAGTTGAAGTCCACACATTTTAAAGTATCTGAGGTTGAGAATCACTGCCTTAAATGATTGAGAGTAAAATTAAGTCTGAGTCTCAACAATGGAATTTGGAGGTGGTTTTTTTGGAGTGCAGGCCTCAAAATTCCTAGGTATCCCTGCCTGACTACTGTAATCAAGACACAGATATTCCAGCCATCCCTCATGAAGCAATTTGGTCATTTCTCTTTCTTATTTCTCTCCCCAACTCTGAGATGTCTCACCTCTGCTATGCTACTGTTTTCTATACCATCTTCAGTTGAAATGTGGGTTTTTGCATGTTGTAGCTGTACAAGCATGTAGGCGTGCTTATATTATTTTGGAAGAGGCAACTCAGCCAATAAATTAATGTATTCAGTTATCAGAGTTAGAGCCATACAATTTAGCATCCATCTAACTTTGTCCAATTTATGGTTAACATTTTGGACACTTTTAACAAGAAAGGAACTGATAAATATGCATTTTTATTTAACTTTCTATCTGTGGCTTTAAAAATCAGTTCATTTATCAACTGGTATGTGCCTGAAGAAGAACTCAGTTCATTGTATTCATGAATTCAAGAAAAAAATTCCCTGCACAAGGATGAGTGGGAGGCCTCATTTCAAGTATTTGTGTTCATCAGGTATTCTGAATATCCAAGAACCTATTTTTAAAATATTTCCTGAGATTTATATAATTCAGGCATCATGCATGAATTGTATGCCTATTTGAAAGCTCTGCAATATTTTTGTTTTTTTTTCTGATGGATTTGGGATTTTGTGTATTTATCCCTTTTGTACAGAGAAGCTGTATTTTTAAAAGGAAGGAAGGGGTGTATGGATAATGAAGCCATCAGATCTTTCCTTTCTCTTTAGTTCAGACCCCTCTGCAAAGAAAACTTAGCTTGGGGTCCAGAGAACAATGCTTCTTGTCAGAGGCCTTCTGTAAACTAAACAAAATCACCTGTCTGTTGAACATGCGGTCTGGGAATTCAGATGGAAATGTAGATATATTCTGTCAAATATACAGGAAGTTTATTTTTATCTGTCATTTTATGTGTAGCTGTGACTCTCATGCATAAATACTACAAAGGGAATTAAAAAAATTAAGTTTATATGTGAGTGAAACTTTTAAAGCTGAGATTTTAGATGGAGGGGCCCCTGTGGAGTGCACTCCTTAGAATGAAAATACACACTTTAAAGAGGAATTCTGCCCTAACTGGTTTTGCCAAATAGGATATTACACAATGCAACTGGTTTTAAAATAAAGTTATTTTTCAGACTAAACGGACTGGTGGTGTTTATAAATTGTTGTTTAATTGTGATAAAGTTTCATGATGATGCATACAGTTGGATCCCAATAATACACATAACAGTAATTTTCCTAACTAGTCACATTTGATTTGCCTTTAAATGCTGCACTTGCTTTGCTTCATCCCTGAGAGTCAGCCGTGGAATAAAAATCCAAACTAAGTGTTTGAAGTTTAATCTAATTAATAAAAATGGTTAGTTTTTTTTTTTAAGCAATGGGTCTTGTGGTGCATGGTGATAAAGGTACTATAAATAAATAGTGGTGGTCACCCCTGTAAGCGCAAAATATAAATGATTTTAAAATATAAAATATAAAAAGATTTCTGCATACAGTTAAATAATAATTCTGCAAGTGGGTTTTTTTATACACACCTTTAAGAAATTAACATTTGCACCATGACCCACTTAGTTTAAGAAAATGATTGCATTCCTATTTCTAATCCTTGATATTATACATACATTTATCAAAAATAACATGGCTTTTCTTTTATTGATGAATGTTTAAACATAAATAAATGCAAATCTAATCATTAGAAGCAAAATACTTATATTTCATCTGCTGCATCCATATTATTCAAACTATAAGCATACAAAGGATTATAAATTTTTAGGATGAATGATGCAACCCTACAAAATGATAAATGGAGCTGTGTGATGATTCCCTAACTCCACTCCAAAACAATACCGTGTTTCTCATATAATAAGGCCAGGCCTTTTTTTTTTTTTTTTTCTTTGAGCCCCCCAAAAATGCCTGGGCTGTCTTTTCGGGGTGACTTAATTCCCCCCTGCTTGCATCCTCGGGCGGACGGGCGGTGACAGCTTGGATGTTAACCTTGTTGTTGGTGGGGCACTTCGTATCGGGAGACCTTCCGCCACCGTTGCTTTCCCTTCTCCCCATGCTGCCGCAGCGTTTGGTGCAGTGATAGCACCCACTCGTCCACGGACAGGGAGGCGAGGCGACGGCAGCGCTGCTTCCCTGGCTGGCGGGTCGGGCGGAGAGAGCCCGAAGCCACCCATCCTTTCCAACCCTCACCCAGCCCGTTCCCATTCCCCACGCATCTCCAAACGTGGCGGCGACGCTCCAAACACTGCAGCGGCATGGGCATCGGCGCTCACTCGGCTCAGCTCAGAGGAGGACACTGCGCGAGCCATTGCCTCGCCTCACTGTCCGCAGATGGGTGGGTGCTATCACTGCCTCGGGTGGCCTGTCCCAGTGGCTCCTTCAGTGTCGGGCTGGAGGGACTTGGGAAGCCAAGCTCGGGTCGGCCTGGCTCTTTAGCTTGGCAGGCGGGCATGCACCCGCGGCTTGCTTTCCCGGCTCTGCCCAGCCCGCCCAGCTCTGGCGTGGCCCTGGCGGGATGAGCAGAAGGCCCAGCGGGGAGGCGCTTGCTGCTTTGGCCAGAGCTCCGCCCCCGGGCAGGAGGGCCCGCCTGTCAGATGTGCTGGGTGCCCCAGGTGAAGCACAGTGCCAGGCAGGGATGGCAGCTGGGCGCTTCTCCCGGGGAGGGCCGATTCTGCGCTGCAGCCCTGGGATATTTGCCTCCCCACGTGGGGTTGGGCTGCCCTCTTGGGCAGGGGAGGCTGTGTTGTAGTAGGGCGTTTTTAAAAGAATAGGCTTTGCCTTCGAACAATGCCCAGGAAGGCGGCGACAGGAGCGCCTGAAGCTGAGTGTCTCCACTGGGCTCTGGTTGCAGGGTGGAGCCCTGGCCGGCCCCGTGTGGTTGTGCCAAACGCCGCGGCGATGCTCCAAATGCCACGGTGGCACGGAGAAAAGGGAAAGCAACGATGGTGGAAGGTCTCCCAATATGAAGTGCCCCACCAACGCCGAGGTCAACGCAGGTAGCACCATACCCGGGTGTGCAGCAAAAGTACTTGGCGATAGTAGGGAGATTGGTGGTAAGGCATGGCTGCCCGCAGGGCGCTCCTAACGGCAAACCGCCCGCCCTCCCCCCCATTTCGCATGTTTTAAAATAGGCTTTTTTAAAAAAAAACAAATTTTATTAATTTTAAAGACAAACAAACCATCATTAAACATTAATACATGAACCTCTTTCCATTATAAATTTTACAAGTCAAATAAAACATTATTTTATACAATATAATTCTATTTTAGACTATTTCCATATGAGCATACAAATATCTCTTATCCAATTTCTCTTTATTACTCTTTACTCTTATCCAATTTCACTATTATTATTTTTCTCTGTATTTATCCAATTTATAATTATCATCTATTTCTCTCTGACTTGGTTACCATTATTCTCATTCTATATTCCTGCAAGGTTTTATTAATTCTCCCATATACATAAACACACAAAACACAAAAATATAAAAGATCTTTTAGGAAAGTAACTTAGCCCCAGAAACCTCTCTCTACATGGACTTCAATTATATTCATGCTCATCTTACATGCCATTACCTATTTTATTTACCATTCTATATCTTCTAAATTAGCTTCTCCACACATTTCACTCTTCTTAATTCTATCTTATTTAATTCATTTTAATTTAAGTCATTATATTTGTATCTTTTCTCCATTCTTTATTATCCATTTGTCTCATTCCCTATAGTAAAAAGAAAAAAGAGTTTCTCCTGAAATCACTAATCAGAGTATGATGCCTTTCTATCATCCCCCTAAATTAACATTTAAAATAACACCTAATACCCAATCTAATTCTGCTTGGTACATTCTATCTACTAATTTTTAAAAAAGAAAATTAATAAATTCAAAATGATTAAATACATTACTAAACATTTCAATATTTTAATCTCTTATTAACTCTTAAACCATTCTAATTTTCTAGTTTTAAAATAGGCTTTATTTTGGGGGGAGGGGCTTAATTTCATTTTATGCCTATAAAACATGCTGGGACTTCCTATTGGGGGAGGCCATATTGTTGGAGAAATACGCTATTTATACTTGGCCAAATAAAAAAATAACACATCATGCTCACTGATCAAATTCCAATCTATAAACCAAACAAAATGATTGAAAACTTAAATCTCACAAAACAAAATATTTTTATTGGGAACAACAAAACTCAAAATTGTACTTAATGGGAGAGATGAGTCCATTTGCCGCCATTCCTATAGCTCCTGAGCATCAGGCCCCTCAGAGGCAGCCTCTCTCACCTCACCCCCGCATTATAAGCCTGCTCCAATCCTTTGGCCCACCATGCCCTTCAACGACCCAAGCTGAAGTGCTCATACCCCAGGCACCCAAGGTTAGATCTCTGGAACACCATATCCAAGTCCTGAAGGATCACAGTTGCACTCAACCCAGACAGTTTGGAAATAAGTTCTGACACCAGTTCTACCCTGCGTGTTCAAGATCTCTCCTATGTCTGATTAAAGCTTCTGAATCTCAGAAAATGGCTGACTTAAGACTTTTTTAATCAGTAAAATCACTATTTAATAAAGTGACATGCCATTATAACAAATTTCAGAATATTTTATGAAGCTTTTAAAAAAATACCACAATGAAGGTAAGTGGTGTTTGTAACCAGTTTTTCATCACAAAACTCAAAAGTAGCACTGCCACCTGTGATATTTGGAGATATCCTTGCAGTTTTGCTGGCAACCCTGTGGAAAAGATATACTCTTTTGTTTTCCATTAGGTGTTTTTACCCCTGACTTCCCTGTTAAGTTTACAACTCTGGAATTTCCTGGCTGTGTTCCTCCAAGAATTAACTAGGTGTGACTTTAGCTTTGGAATTCAAGCAAGGGCAATCAGGTGCTGCTTCTTCCCTGTCAAGATCAAACTTGAAATTGCCAGAATTAAGCCACTTTCTTTGTCGTTGGCCAGAAATAAGTCATTGTTGGTACACGTTTCTCGTAGCTGACATACCAGCAGATGTGTCTCCAGCCTGAAGAGCCTCCACTTGAACATTTTACAGGTGCTGCCACCTGCTGATATAAAACATATTTAAAAACATATTTAAACATATTTAAATTAAACACACTTGTTGCCTATAAAGTGGACTTATTTTTTTTAAAGACCTTTTCTCTCAATTGCAAAGCAGAAATTCTCCAAAATGCAGCCCAAGAATAAATAATAAATTTAGTTTATTTGGGATACAACTTAAATATTTAGATATTATATGACTATAAAAAAAACCTTTTCACTCATGACAGTCTTCTAAAAAACCTGGCCTACACACATGCTGATGTTAGTATAAGGTGTGACTTTTATAAAGCACTATATGTCCTTTGTTTAAGAACAAGGATGGAACGGTCCATGAGCATGACAAAATTGTCTGTGATTGTCATTCTCTGCAGGAACCTATTAACTGCAGACACACATTTTTCAGTATGACCAAACCTCTCATAATGACAGGCTGAATTAATTTATCCACCTAATTGCAAGCTCTCGCAACCGGCATGTGATTATGTGATCAAGGAAACGTACATGACTGGCAACTCAAAACAACTACCAGCAATGGATGACAGGCAGGAAAGTAATACCCAGTCAGCTGATTAACTCTTCCCCTTTAGATCATGACTGTCCACGTCTTACAAGATAACACGTTTCTCTTAAACTAGAAGTATTGTCCATTGCCTATTCAATCAACTGTATCCCAAATAGACTTATAAATTTCATGTATCAGAATTTTTGCTGCAGAAAACTTTTTTTTGCCTTTAAACTTCCAACATTCTCTCATCAACGTGTATTATCTGTCGTTGCATTACAGTAAAACTGTTCCAAGTGTTTGTTTGATGTTCTTTCTTACCGAAGGAGGAAGTGAGATCAACACATGAAATGTTAAACAGATGAATGAAGATTAAGTTCCATTGTTTGTATTTTATACTTTGATAAGTTTAATAAAATTATTAAAGTTTTAAAATATATATATACAAGGAATAAAAGTAAGCTACAGTAAGTATTTTAACTCATTTATGCTGCAAGTTTATTAAGACTTCATACAAGTATTGGTAGTAGCAGCAAATCTGTATTAGGCAGGCACGGCTGCTACTTCTATTACTATAAAAGCTACTACCTTTCACACAGAAAAGGTGAGTCCTTTGAAAGTACCTGCAAGGGGAGTGTCTAATTTGAAACCTGATTCCTTCCTCCTGAGCTGATGTGTGGGTAGAAGGAGGCGGGCTATAAGTCTCCTTGTCTCATCGTATACACTCATTGTTCACAACATAGCTGAGAAGGAAATCTACAGCTGACTTTCCTAAGAGAAGTTGTTTTTCTGTCTGCCTGAGTGTGGTAAAATTTGGATTGGCCCTGAGTTTCTTTGGAGCTTGGTGTACTGGAGAGTCCTACTCCAGGCACAGAGGAGATGAGCTGTACCAGGCGAAAAGGCTTCTTCAGGCAAGAAGTAAACAAGACAATTTGGGAACTTCCTAGACGATATACTGCTATCATCCCTGTAGGATCTGGGGCTTATGGCTCTGTCTGGTGAGTGGCTCTCTGAATCTCAGGGCTTTGGCAAAGTGGGAAGTGGGGATGGATATACAGGATCCTGGAATCCTAGATTTTGAGGAGGAATCACAGGGAATCACTTTATTTAACTCTGGTGAATATACATTTGCATTCTGGAAAAGAGATTTCGTTTCCTTCCGGCCACAGTTTTCAACGTCATTTTAAGTGTCAGTTGATCAGATATTGAAAGTTATCTGTGTATGGAAACCTTGAGAGTTTCCAAATGTCCTTTTTCTGCAAGGTCCCTTATTTTACAATTATTTGGTATCTTGATCTTTAAACAGGGTGAAGCACAAATACCATGCTGTGTTGTTTGTTTGCAGTTGGAAGGAAAATAATTCAGATATTGCTGGCATGACAAATTAATAAGGCGCATCTTCTAGCCCCATTTTATTTTCAGCTATTGGTTACATGCCATCAAGTCATTTTTGATTCCTTAGAGACCACACAGCTTAATTACTTCCAATACTCTACTTTGAAAATGCTATAGAAACACTAAGTTCATGATGATCAAATACACATAGTTTCAATTTTTCTTAGTAATAGAGATCTGCTTAAACTTTCCAGTTTCTACACTACAGTTTTTCAAGTTATTTGGACTTGGATTTTATATTTGACGTATGGAAAGTGGCTATAGCAATACATGGAATGATGTCTTGTTTTTGCAAAACATTTATAGCCAGAGAAAAATGATATTAATCTGCCAAAGATTTTCAGTATGATTGTGCTACACTGTTGTATGCAGAACACTTTTCCAGATGGGAATATGTTGGGATAACTCCCACAATTCTCCAGGCTGGTCAAAGTGTTATAGGACCTGGGACGAGTGCTGAGACGAAATAAGAATATGATATGGAGGAAAGAAGGGCCTCTTTCTTTTTGTACTTCCCAACACTGAGTCCAACAGTCCCAGTTGCTACTGTTATCAGACAAGTCTTGTTCCCATTAAACTATTCTGTCTGAACTACCCTCTGTGCTTCGGTTAAAGTACAGGGACTTTTACAGTGCACAGGTTCTTGGGCAGAAATGCCTGGAGCAGATGCTGTAACAGCCAGAGCCAGTGAGTCAATGCTTTTGTCATATAGAATATATTTGTGGGGTGGAGTTATTTTGTTTCTTTATATTATCCTGGCTTCTGAGCAAGATGTATCTCAAGTTAAAATTTACATCCATGATTTTTGCAGAAATTTCCACATGACTGCCTAATTTGAAATGTTAATTGTGTATTGACGTATTCTGACTAATGTCAGATGTAATATTTTGTAGATGCAGGCAGATATTAGAGAGATTTAAGGCATTTAAATGGTTTGTTTATAGCCATTCCTTTGTGTTTACGGTCAAGGGAATAAAAAGAACATTTATTTTGGATCTTTAACTGAGTTCAAATTCCTGAATATATATGTCTTCCTCAGAATTAAATGAACAAATGCCAAACATTAAATTCAAATATAATAAAGTTGGAGGGAATTCCTTCTGGATAAGACCCTATTGCTTTTTCTCATGACTAAGAAAGCTGTCTGTCCGTCTCACATATATCCAGTCTTGCATGAAGAGCAATGAATGAAACATGACAGGTTCATTGAGTGGCTACCTTCTTTAGTATTAGCCATTGTATTACAGCAAATACAAAACTGGTGGGTTGATTTTTCCCCACTTCTTTTGAAAAATGAAATAGGTGCTTCACTCATTGCATTAAAAAAAAAGTTTCTGGCATGTATTTGCGTCCCCATTCCAGTGAATGGTGTCAAAAATCTATCAACAATAATAGCAATGAAGATAAAGAATATTAATTAAAACAGAAATAAATCCAGATTGCAGGTCATGTTTAAATCAAATGATTAAATTAATAATTTAATAATAAATAGTAAACATTATTGTTTAACTATTAAAACCCAACCCAAGTGCTATATTCAGAAGATACATAACTAACTATCCATCCTGCTATTCCTCTTTTAGGTAAGAAATGTTATAACATTAAAGGTAAGAAAATTCAGTCAAAGAGTGAGAACCAGTGAGTTAAAAAAATAAAGGCAAGAAATTAAAACAAGGAAATCTAAATGTACTTGAGGTCATCATAATACACTCAAGCTCTTCACATCTTTCTGTCTTTGAACACTGTCTTTAATTTTTTTTTCCACCACATCATACATAAGTCCATACATTGTCTGTTGTTCTCTTAAGATTCTCATCTCTCTCTCCCTCTCTCCTTTTTTCAGGATCTCATCAACTTCATCTAATTACAACATTCTCTCTGCTCACATACTCTCCTTGATTTAGAATTATTTTTCAAAATGTATTCATTTCTCATTTGATAAAACTGTCTGAGCGTATATGATCATACATGTTGTATTTTGTACAGATCATTTTGTACTCAATTGTTTTAATTCACCCATTCATCTTTTTAATCCTACCCCTATCTCTTCTTGCTTTATGGTCTCTTCTTCAGTAACTCATTCCTACCTCATTTGCCTTCATTGACATTCCTTTCTAATGGTAAGGATATTGGTAGTCAACTGAGGCACATTTTGGCCAGAATGGCACAGTCAAAACTTAGTTTTACCTCAAGAATTCTCACACTATTCTATGCAAGCCAGGATCTCTAATCTAGAAACTAACTTCCAATACCAATATCCATATCCCACTTTTATCCTCCTCTTCCTGTTCTTCTTCTTCTCAGTTATACAGAGAGGAGACAATTATTTATTAAGTTTTAAGTGAATGTTAATACTAGGTGCTAAGAAATTATAGTTTAACAGTTTAAAACCTCCCCTTGAACTTTTTGATTGGTAATGTTACAAAATTTGCCGGGTAATACAAGATCCAATTTATGTAGACTCAACTTTATGCAAATGTTTCTATAAGCCAGATCTAAAATGCATAAAAGTGCATTTTTCATGTGTAGTGCAAATTAGTAGAGCTTGTAGATGAATTCCAGATCTACAAAAAAAAACCCTAGATTATGCAGTTTTCCAGAACGGAATAGTTAAATAAATCAGGAAGAATCTGCAGTCTTTGGTTCTTCAACATGTAAAAATGCAGTGGCAAACACATTTACCACTATGTGTTATGAACAAAGCCTTAAGTTTACATGGCAGTGTCCTTATACATATTGATATATGCAGAAATTCGGTGAATTTTCATCCAAATACTGCAGCAGTACAGTTATTCTTCCTAGACCATAAACTTCATTGAATAAATGAAGTTAAATATGGTTAGGATTTTACAGATCAGCATAATTCTTCCATGTAATTTCTTTCTGAATATTTTTCTCCAATTTGTCATAGTTCTGCAATTGATAAGAAAACAGGAGACAAAGTAGCTATCAAGAAGCTCTGTCGCCCGTTCCAATCTGAGATTTTTGCCAAAAGAGCCTATCGGGAACTCACACTGCTAAAGCACATGCAGCATGAAAATGTGAGTAGCTACATCTCTGTGTATGTTTGCTTAAACCCAAAAGAGTTCTCTGTGTTTTGCATAAATAACAACTGAATTGGAAAGAAAGAAAAGGCATAATTTCTATCTTCACCTGAGACAAAAATTCAAATAAATATCAAAATATGCATGCCCAGAAGAGTAAACAGCGTGCAGTAACAGCTTCTATGAAATGACTCATTTATCCCCACCTCTCAGTGGTGGGATTTAAATTTTTTTTACTACTGGTTCTGTGGGCATGGCTTAGTGGGCATGGCTGGGGAAGGATACTGTAAAGTCTCCAGTCAGAGGTGGTATTTGCCGGTTCTCTGAATTACTCAAAATTTCCACTACCGGTTCTCTAGAATTGGTCAGAACCTGCTGAATACCACTTCTGCCGCCTCTGATAGATCTCATTCATTCAAGTTGCTATATTGACTCAAAATTGGTGCCATACTAAGTTTGGACCATGAGTTAACCATATTTGCCAAGATGTATGACAACGAGCCAGACAAGTTCTAATATTTCCTTTTTCAACCTGATTGAGTTTTAGATATGTTGGATGCTTTGGAGTTCTGCAAATTGTAGCCCCAGTATGTCTGAAGCTAAAATTAGATGCAATAAACATTCTGTCCAGCAGATGAAAAGAGGGATATGTTTATAATACTCATTTTCAATAACAAGGATAACTTGTTATGACTTTAACATAGCTGAATGCCCTGGTCTGCCTACTGATAATCATATTTCAGTTTTTGCTGAAAGATTTAAGAGCCACATAATTGGTTGGATAAATTATACTTGGCAAAATGTAATTATCTACAATATGCTATGAATAAATCAAATACTCCCAAGCAGCTCCAGAGTGTAAAAACAAACCTACTTCATACTCTGCTGATGAGCTCCTAATAGTGATAGTTACTTCTTAACCCATTTTCTTTCATCCCTCCACCCCAATTTTCAAGCAATAGTGGACTTACAGTACCTTATACACGCTAGGCATTGCAATTACTGCCTGATACAGGTACTGAATTTCTGTACTTCAGGTTTAATGCTACTGCCTGATTTGTGGTTTGGGTAGAAATCTGATCCTTTCATACTATGCATTCATTAAGCTACAGGTTTTTTTTTAAATTAATAAGCTCTGTGCCAGCTAGCACAGCAAAAGTTTTATCAATTGCTAACTTACTGTAGGGCAAGTATAAGAACTGGTTGTAAATTACATCTAAGAAATTCCACTCCTGGCACCTTCTTTCCTGTGTCTGACACTCTGCTTTATTTTATGTAAGCAAGTCCTATGCACTATATGGCAAGGAGAGGCATGACACATCCCTAGTACATGACATCTTCTTGACATCAGTCTAGTGAATTGAAACTTCTTATTCTCTACATGAACCAGATGGGAATACTGCAGCATCATTTCGCATGACACTCTGTTAATGAAAATGTCTTTCTTTTCTAAATTCAGTAGTCTTTTGGGAATGGGAATCCAGGCTGAGTTCTAATAAGAATGAAACCTGTGCAAACAGAAATTCTGGCAGTTTTCTATAATTCCTATTTTCTCAGCTACAGTAAAGTGTCAGCTGTGGTGCAGCAGGCTCTAATTAATTTATAAATATTGGTGCATCCAGAACTTGAAACACATTCTGTACAACTATCCCTGGATTTATTCCCTGGTCTTGGAGCTTTTATGAGAACATCACAAAATACTGTATAAGATGTCCCCCCCGCTCCCAGCCCATTGCTTAGAAAGGCCTCAAGTTGCCAATGAACATGGCTTGTATTTCTGGTTGGGAAAGCAGAATGTTTTTATCATGTTAGATAGATATGTTCTTGTACTCTGCGTAAGCTAATATTCTGAGTCTACCTCTGCTGCAGGTTATTGGATTACTTGATGTCTTCACTTCAGCTACTTCATTCGATGGATTCCAGGACTTGTAAGTTTGCATTTTCTACCATATGATGTTCTATAGTTCTAGTGCAGAATTATAACAGAACAAGGGAGTGGAAAGGCAGGAGACTCTGCTGCTGCATTTCAGATAAATGGTTGTTCCATCTTCTCTTAAACATCTCTAGTGTTGGAGCAAGTCGTTCCACTGATTAATTGTTCTAACTGTCAGGAAATTTCTCTTTAGTTCTAAGTTGGTTTCCTCCTTGGTTTGCTTCCATCCCCTGCTTCCTGTTCTGCTTTCAGGTGGTTTGAAGAATAGGTTGATCCTCTCTAAAAGAATTGCTTTTAAAGAGAGCACAACAGCTTGGTCCCTTAATCATTTTCTCTCAAAATCTATTATTTTCAAACATGGGACTATACAGGTTCTGTCACTGAGTTTAGCAACAAATAAATAAATATCCATATATGTTATATAAGGCATAGGGCCTGGATACTTCAGGGACCACGTTTCCCGTAACATTTCTCTAGCTGATTCAATCCCACAGTCTTGATGTGCTCCAGATTCCTTAATTAAACAATATCATTTATTGGAACCAGTGGTGGGATTCAATTTTATTTTACTACCAGTTCTGTGGGCGTGGCTTGGTGGGCCACCCCACTAACCTGCTTTCCAGCTCTGTTCTCCTGTGCAGGGCAACAAAAGAAGACCCAGCCGATCAGCTGGGACTCGGGAGGCAGAGAATAGATGGGGGTGGGGCCAGTCAGAGGTGGGATTTGCTGGTTCTCCGAACTACTCAAAATTTCCACTACCAGTTCTCCAGAACCGGTCAGAATCTGCTGAATACCACCTCTGATTGGGACCCTGGAAGCATGTTTTCTCTGTAGCAGTTCCTGCCCTCTGAATGAAGTTCCTTCCAAGATCCAAATTGCTCCTACCCTAGTATTGTTTAAAAGAGTTGTGGAAAAACTGGCTCTTTTTCCAGGCCTTTGGTTAGGAAGAATAATACCTCTCACTTCACTGTGTTTGTCATTTTTATCTTTGTCATTTATGTTTTAGTGATCTTATTGTAATATCTTATTATTGTGAATAGTTGACAGTCAGGTGCTATACAGGTTTAATAAATTATGGTTGGTCATATAGTCAGCCAGAAGTTGGATTTGGCATTCTTATTCACTTATTGAGTCCTTCCCAAGGACTTGGAATAGGTAGTTGTTGTTATTTGATGATATTAAAGGTGTCCTCACAAGCTGCTCCAACTAAAATTGCCTTTTGCAATTGAGTGATGATGATTTTGTCAATGCTGATTGTCTTCAAATGGTGCTCCAGATGTTTTGGGGTTGTACTCAAGGTGCGACTTTTGTCGCAGTTGTTTTACTTCTATTTGCAGATGTTTGTATTTTGTTATTTTCTCCAGTTTTTTCCTCTACTATTCTGTTCTGCTGTCTCTGGGTACCACAGTACTACATCCACTATCTAGACTTGTCTTTCTTATCAAGTTCAGTCTAAGGTTTTGTATGACAGGTGTTGGTCTGGTTAAATTCTAAAGTTCCAGAGCACTTCAATTTATTCAATTTCTATTATTTGGTTGGTTTTGTGATGTCACCAGTTTTTGCTTGCAAGCAGATGGTATGTCTTGCAGATATTCCAGTGCACCGTTGTTACTTCTTTGTCATGCCATTCTTTTTAGTCAGACAGTGTGATCTTCTTGCAGCAGCTAATTAGCTGTTCCACTATTTCTTCAGCTTTTATTATTATTGTGGTAGGCTGCATAGTCAGCCAGACATTTAGATTGGATTTGGCATTTTTTAATCCTCCTAATGAGTCCTTTCCAAGGACCTGGAATAGGCAGGTGTTGCTTGAGGGTATTGAGGTTGGTTGCACAGTCAGCCAGATGTTTATATTGGATTGGATATTTTTATGAGGGGTGGGCTGCTATGGGTTCGCATGGGTTTTGGCGATCCTCTAGCTAAGATTCTGCGCAGTTCAGCGAACCAGTAAATCCCACTCCTGGCTGGCCCCACGCGGCCCATTTTGGATGTCAGGTAAGTAAAGGGCCCATGTTTTCGCCCTCCCAGAGGGTCGAGGAAAGCTTCCAGAGCCCAGGGAGGAGAAAAACGCTCCCCCCCCCCCCCCGCTGTGGTGCAGCAGGCCGACTAGGCCAGAGACCTCCAAACTTGGCAACGTTAAGACTTGTGGACTTCAACTCCCAGAATTCTCCAGCCAGCATAGCTGGCTGGAGAATTCTGGGAGTTGAAGTCCGCAAGTCTTAACGTTGCCAAGTTTGGGGATCTCTGGACTAGGCCACGCCCACCATGGCCACATCCACCCAGCAACGAGGCAGAAAACTGGTTGGTGAAATGTTTGAAGCCCACCCCTGATTTTTACACATTTAGTAAATCCTTGCCTGGAATAGTCAGATATCATTGTTTGATGGTGTTAATGATATTGTCACAGGATGTAAGCTGTTCCAAGTAAAGCTGCCTTTTGCAATTGACTGATGGCAAATTTGACAATGCTGGTTGGTGTTTCAATTGTTTTGGTATTGCACCCAGGGTGGCTACTACTATTGGTACAATTGGTAATACTACAGAACTTTTGCAACAGTCATCTAATCACAAATCTTTGTATTTTGTAATTTTCTCCAGTTCTTTCTCTTCTCGTCTGCTATCTTCAGATAGTGCCATCTCCATTATCCAGACTTTTTTGTCTTTTTAAAATCAACAATTTAAATCAACAATTGCTAGGTCTATAGTGTTATATGGCATATGCTTGTCTGAAGTCCCAGAGTACTCCAGTTTCTTCATTTTCTAACAACAAACATGATGAAGTGGCAATAATGGTGCATTGGAATATCTGCAATTATATATATAATAATATATAAGCAAGAACTGGTGGGACCACAGCACAGACAAAGTGTTATTATCATATATACACAAACAAACATGAAATCACAACTTTAGTTGGTATTGGCCTTCATACACACCAAGTTCTTCCCAAGAACTTTTGTTGTAATGTATCAGCATAGTATATCCTGGATACAAGCAGTGTGGGCTTTTGCAATTGACAGATGGACATTTTGTCAATACCTATTTTATTGTTGTTGTTGCAAAGTACACATTAGTTTTTACATACAATTTAGCATCCTGGAAATTTTGTCTTTAACTGTTGCTTTTAAATTACAAATTTTCTGGGGCCAATCTAGTGAAACAATTGTTAACCGTATCAGATGTTCTGTCTCTCTCTTTTTTTAAACTGCTCCTATTGGATCCCAATTTCCCAAATGAAGAAATGGTATTTTCACCCTGCCGTGCATTTTTTCAAATGGAGCTTTGATTACAGAGATTTACATTTGAAAATAGAAGACATGGGAGGAGAATATGTTTTCTACCAGAACTGGCATCCCATAACAACCTTTTATCCTCGTAATATTTTAATATTTAATATTTATACAAAAAAAATACCTGCTGAGAGCAATTTGTGTCATACAAAAGCCAATCAGGACTTTGAATATAATCTGTATTATGGGATTGGCAATATTTAATAAAATCTGAGATGATTGATTGGTGAGATATTTATAATACATTCATTAATTCATCATAAATCATAATTGGAGGAGACATTAGAGGTCATCTCATAAAACTTTCTTGATGCATGATTTAAAATGCAAAACATGTTACATTGTGTTGACACAATCAAGCTTCTATATAAATGCCTTTAATAAAGACTGCTACATTTTAGGGTAACAACTAGTAGAATCTAAACGACTAGTAAAATCTACACTGATACCTTTTTTTTTACATTTCATGGCAGTTGATTTTTTTCCATTAAAATTGGTACAGTTACTTTTAACATTTAGCTTAGGATGTGCTTTCCTGTAATGTTATGCATCTGTCATTTTTATATTCTTTGAAGGAACAATGAGTACTAAACAACATGCACAAATCTAAACTAATCACATAAATTTAAAAGAAAAACAATGTATCAGCAGCACTAAAGCAAAATATGAAGATATAATATTCAAATATGGGGTGTCATGGGCTAGTCGTTTTTTTCAAAGTCTTTAAACAAAATAACACATAGTTATGGTATTTGTTTAATGCACATTGTGCAGAGTACAACTTGTGAGTATATTTTTTTAAAAAATTGCTGTTGTTTTCTGATATTCTTGCTAATTCTACTATTCTGAAATTGGATGGAAGTGGGGCACAGGGTGAAATAGGAGGGGACAATAACTGGTTTTCATTAGTAATAAGAGAGAATGAAACTGCTGTCAACAGGACTTTCAGAAGTAGACAAAATAATGAAGAAGCAGTCAAAATAGAACTCATTCCCCTTGTCCCAGTGATGGGAACAATAACGTACAGAACCATACAAGATACGTTTTGATAGAAGACCCATAATGCACCCAACGTTGACAGAGCTAGCAAAATCCAACTCTCTTCCCCAGGTTAAGTCAACCATCTCTGCAGCACTGAGCAGCAATCTTGTTTTTGAAAAATAAGTCTAGTGTTCTTTCAAAACGGCACTAAGCCTTGTCTTTATAAGAAGCCTGCATAACATCTGACAAACACTTCAGGGAGAACCAATCTGACAGAATGTCAGGCAAGTACCTTTGTGGAAGCTGTTCTGTACTATTCATTAACATTCTTGTAAACACCCGTTCTGATTGGCTAAGATGCGCAGCAATCCGATTGGCCGAACGAGCCGCACTGATTGGCCCGCGGAGAATCTCCCGCGATTGGAGGAAACCGATCGCGGGAGATTCAAAGCGATGTCATTGGCCGCGGCTTGGCCGGCTAGTTCTATAAAAGCCGCTGCATGCCCTAGCCGCACCGAGCCGATCTTGGGACCAAATAAAGAGCTGAAACTGGTCACTGACTCCCCAGCTTCCTTACGCACGGCGAACATAACACTGGCGACGAGGGTGGGATCGCGGAACTGATACCCACTGAGCACGTGGCACCGAGAACACAAGATTGACAGAGATGGCCAGCCTCACACCGCCCGCACCCTTTAACCAAGCTACTGAGGACTGGGAATCGTGC